CGCGCCAATAAAAAAGACCACGCCTCAACGGGGATATCATGTGGCCCCGTTGACTCCATACTATTCCAGCAATAAAACTTCACAAAAATAAGTTTTTCGTTGGATCGCGCTTGTGAGTATAATACACCGAGTTTTAAACGTATACGCATCATGGAAGGATTCGTCGAGGAGCGAATAGACTTTTCGACCATGTTGGCAATCGGCCATCTCGTTCATATTCCACGCCACAATTTTGGCAGAGGACCTATGCAAATTTGTGATTAGAACCTGCAAGAGCATGTATTTGATTGCGCTGAGCATACCTTTGGTCCCTCAGGCCCATCTCTGGCAGCCCAGGTGGCGTGTCCTGGCCAAGCGCAATGCATGCATCGCCAGCTTTGCCTTTCTCTAGGATCTTGTTAGTACTCACAGCCTTCTAGCGCCGAGAATCGAATAGTTCTTACCCATCTGTTAACGTGCCTCCTCCGCCCCCATATCCCGCTATGGATCCAAGGTCTGGTGTCCCACGGCCCCCAGCCGTCCCGGTTGTGGGACTATTACTTCGGGCACGACGCCTTCTTTTATTTCGCTCCCCTCGACCCAGTGGGGTATCTGGATCCGGAAGATCAAAATAGCCCCCAGAACTCTGACGTGTCAATTCCAAGGACATGCCAGCTGTAGAGGAAAACCGTGCTGTTTCCCGTCGAAGCCTTCGGATCTGACGTTCTCGATCTCCTTCGCGCTTTTCAATGTCCTCTTTGGACAGAATTTGTATTCTCGGCTCCCATTCATCTCCTAGCCCATCTGGGTCGTATCTCCAACCAGCTTCCCGTGCATGAGCAGCTTGGTTGTCAATTTCAGCCCCATCTCCTCCGATACCTACCAAACCACCGCTTTCACACGCATCCTTCTTTAGCCGAAGAACAACCTCGCAAATGCCGTGTGAGATTACATTTACCCACTCAGGCCCGAGACCAAGGTCCGCGCAAGTCTTACGAGCGAACTGGTCTGCTAAACCTTGATCATGAAGCAGAGACCATTCGAACCTGTCGGTGTACAGCTTGTTTTGCAGGGTAATATCCAAAATTACAATGCAGCGATACGCGTCATCTGTGCTGAATATACCGTCGTCGGGAGAAATCTGTTGTGATATCCATTTCTTCTGATTCGAGTCGGGCCGATGAGCTGGTATCGCAGAAGATCTCTGTTCTGACGTAGGAGTGTCTGCGACTTGTTGTGCCTGGGTTGGGGTATTGTTCGATTTTTCGGTAGCTGGTGCCTTTTGGAAGATCGGATGCATTGCGACGCCCGCATACTCTTCCAATTGTTGGCGTATTTGATTGCACACGGCCGTGACCATCACGGGCAAATTTGGCAGGTCCAATTCGCGCACAAATATTATTGCAAACTCTTCGGGAGTAAGGAATGGCTCATGGAGATTCCAGAGAATAAAGTCTTTGACCCGATACGGTGGGGCCGCCTCGGGTTTTCGGTAGGCAGGAGCACCGGGGTTTATGCCGATTTCTAGATAGTTTCGCGGCAAGGGGAATGGCTCAAGTGGTTGATGGGCCGGTACTTCAAGATCAATACGGATGGGCACCAAATTCAGAGGCAATAAACCATGCCCCGTTATTTGAATCTCCCTCCTGCAACGTAAGAAACCGATTGTTAGCACGTCTCCCAGCCTTAAAAAAAGGAACTTCGGTTTACATTGATTTCGGTCGCCTTCTAATCACCCATTCTCTGAAATTCGGCTGCACATTCGCGGGAGCGAAGATTTCGGTTCCGAGTTTCTCGCCCGTAGGTCCGCGGTCCGGCTGGAGCTCCTCCCTCTTAAGGCTTCTTAACCCCGTTGGCCGGCGCGTACTATCGCTATTGTCATCGAGCTCTTCATCATCGAAATCATTCTCGGCGTAGTTAATGGCGGCTGTCCCGCGCTTTGTTGTCCGGACAGCAGAAGCTGGCGTTGCAGGAAGAATCGGTGTCAAGAGGGCGTTTGCATATTGGCGAAGTCGCGGAGAATATGAGGTAACGGACGCGAAAGGAAACGACATTTTCAGATGGCTAAGGTGTATAGAGCATTTTCTCGCAAGGATTTAGATATTGCGATGGAATGGAATGGCGCGCAAAAAGAATCAAGTGTGATGAAGACTGGTAGATCTAGCAAAAGATCAGAAGACTCCCTTTCAGATAACTCGGCTAAATGCCAACAAGCTAAGGCTTTGTATCTCAAACCACAGCAAAAGCAGCCAAATGTTTGCAAAACCGCGGGATCGTGACGTGAAAGCTTTCGTTGCCCGAAAACAGCCAAAGCGCACAAGGAACCGCGATGCTGGGCCAAGCTTTAGCGCCAAGCTCGACCAGTCCATATACAGTTAGTTAGCGAAGATTATGGGATTATGTAAGCGAGGATTTCAATGACGCTCGCTTGACCAGACAGACATCAACCTCAGAAGACAGCGTGGATGAGGTGCTGTCCACTGAGAAGCCCTATGGGTGTATATGTGCTTAGGCAGCCTCTTTCTTTCTCATTTTCTGACAGGGATATGCAAATGAGCGACTTTAAGAGTACTAGGCAACCTAGTATCGCTTGTGGTTTGAGACCTCTTGAGATGCGATACTGTATTCCCCGAGGAATATAGACTATGTTCAATGTATACATGATTATATTAAATCAGCACAGCCCAACTTCGCTCTAGATGTGACCCCTTACGGGATGTAAAATGGGCGTCCAGGTTCAAGATGAGCCGTAACTCAAAATCCCAATGGATTAATCGATGGTTGGAGGGGGTAAACAACGCGTTGTATTCCACGCGACAGAAGCCCCTTCTACACTCAGGCGAAGCTAGGCGGAAAAGGCAAGCAATAAACCTCTCCTACCATCTCGTTGCTTCAAGCTCAACAATTCCTCAGCTTCCCCCAAAAAAACATGGCTCCCACACGCAGATCGAGGCGCATTCAGGGCAAGCAGCAAGCAGCTCAACCCACCACAAAAAGGCTTACAGCCGTTGGGAAGCGAAGAGCACGGATTGCGGCTGAAGAACAACCCGACTCCAGTCGAAGTGGGAAACGTAAACGGACAGAGAATGAACCAGAGCCAGAATTTATGCACCTGGAGACAACGTAAGTGGGCAACAGGCTAAATGCGGTATTGTAGGTGGAACTAACACCGCGTGCGCCAGAGTCACCACGCCTTCCCTCGCCACTCCGCACTCTGGAAGATCGTCCTCGAGGACCCAGCTGCGATTACTTGAATTCGCCAAACCGCCAATCACCTGTGTTCCATTCGGCGTACAGAATCGCCCTGAATCCGTCACAAGTCTCTTCCGAGATTTTATCCTACGCCGGGAAACCCCAATTCCTCCCTGGATGAGGTGCGTTTGTGGCATATCAACGAGGGCTTTGTGTAATGGGCTGATCTGTGGCTTGAAACCTAGGGAACGTCTTGAGAGCATTTATCCAGATGAAATTTTGCTCCCGGAACCTAAAAGCACCAGCGGCACACCTGCTCCAACGCTCCAAGATATCAAGCGCTTCGATATGATGACCGCTACCTATAAACATGTAAATACTGCTCGCGTCGAGTATGCGGATGAGAGTACCTGGTTGAAGGCTGTCCGGTCTGCCCTGAGCGGAATAGAGGAACCGGTCTCCAGCGAAGGGGATCTTAGTTTGTTTGGAGTCGCTGAAGTGTAAGTCCAATAAATAACTGCTTCAACGGCTCCTGTTAACGTGATAAATCTCTAGCCAATCTGTGGGTATAGGTCCTGCATCCTTAATGCCGACTGTTGACCATGAAATTCCATTTAAGAAAGTTGACTTTCTTGTCTTGTTCTCAAAGGAGAATGAGGAAGTTGGTTCAATAACAAATGCTGCTATCAAAACGCAACGTGGCCTGTTACTTTCTCAAACAGAAGATCCTTTCATCGGATACCATACTCAATTTGTTGCCCTTGAAGCAAAGACACCTGAAGGAGGTTACTACACTTCCAGCATGCAACTTGTCACGTGGATGGCAGCTGGTCTAGAAAAAGTTAGACTGCTGAAACAACTTGCAGATCAAGTCTCAAACAAACAGGGAAGGCCAGAGATTCTGCCTTGCATTGGCATCAGTGTGGTAGGCCACATATGGAATCTAATAATTGGCATGAAGGCGGACAATGGTGACGTGGTAGGACATCCATTTCTAGCCCTTCTAGATCAATTGTTGCAATCAGTAACAGAAAGTATTCTGGACAGACAATCTATGGGCCGATCCGCATGGGAGATACGTTATCGTTTTGCGGAGTTTTCCAAATCTTCTGCGTCCTCGACGAAATAAGAGCCTGGGGCAGAACTGTCTATTGGCCATGGCTGAAAAAGAATATTCTCTCTCCCCTTGCAGGTGTTGAAGAGAGGGATACCGAAGCGAGTACAGCAAGTTTTTCCTAAGATACCGTAAACGAGTCGCCTCCAATTAACAAGGTCCCTTAACAAGCAATCTAAAAGGAAATATATTCATTCACGGGCACAGCCACTAACTATATGGAGGACGCTGGTTATCGATTTGCCCCAACAAAATTATCGACCGACTGTAGTCGAGAGTAATTCCAAAGGTTGAGGAGCGGGGGTATTTTAATAAAGCCACGGCCATCTTTGGTAGAATGCAAGAAATGGATTCTCAACAATTGACGAAGCCAAATATGGAAAGCTAGGGCTTGAGGTCTGTTTGAAACAAGCCAATGGAATGTAAACGGATCAATTAACGGCCGCTTGATCTGAAAAGTTGAAAGAGTAACACTAGGGGAATATCTAGTACGTGGCAAACTGATTAAGACATAAAAAACCATAGAGCAGACCATATCTTTGATGCTAAGGGTATGAAGATAACATCAGTAATTATCAAACTACAACGTCGGTATCCCGAGAGGGTGAAGGGAACAGAGCCCTTGTCTTGCCGCTTGTCAACGTAGCCCAATTACGCTCTATGCAAAATATTAGTCCATGCGATTCCGGCTCGGATCACGTATATGAGGGCAGGGATTATGTATACGCACCATTTCAAGAGTCCAAACTCTTCGAATCCAAACTTTGAGTTTGCCCTCTACACCCTCTATGCCCTCCAGCTCGACCCCTTCCCACCAGCACCGGCGAGCCGGTTTTCTCCAAAAAAGGAGTAATTTCTGTGCCATACCGACAGCATTGTTACCCGTGATATCTCCTCTAATATCAGTTCGTAATTTCGCCAGCCCCAAGCTGCATATGACGGCTTTATTGGGCTCCCCGGCACGATGGCCCCACCGGTCATCATGATTGAAGCCGCTAGACACATGGAGAAATTAACAAATGACGGGAACACCGGATTGAAAACTTTAGCTCACCCAGCTGTTAGCATTTCGATTAGATGCTGCTCAGTCGTTCCGGCCTCGTCACTTTTCCTAAGTCCAGAGAAGATTCCGTCTTGCCTGAGTAATGCCTTGCCCGCCGCCCGTTTGATCTCCATCATCTCGGGATGGTCAATCCCTGCATGTGGCGGGATTACATAGAAGTCCAAATCTTCGCGAAGGACTATGATGCCTGCACGGTCCTGGAGCATATCTCGGGTACCGCTATGCATCGAATCGATTTGTTCGCCTTCTGGTGAAGTAGTCGGGGATGGAGATGAAGACGGAATTGACTGCGCTACCGACCGAAAAAAGTCAAGCATATATTGAAGGGATATAGGGTCGTACTGGTGAAGATGTGTCAGAATCTTGCTCATTGCAGCCAGGTTGGAGAATTTAAGAAAACCATGTTCCATTGGCTAACTTACATCGATGGAGTATACATCCCCTTCTTGAAAGCCGGCCATATGGCTATCAGGAAGTAATCCGTTGGGGAAAAGAGATAATAACACAAACTCCGGTAAAGTGAGCAATTCATCTCGCGATAAGGTGAACCGTGTACCACTATAGACGTAGAAATCAGCATTCTCAATACAAACTGAGCGTTAATTTCTTATAAGGAATACGAACCGTAAATCAAGAGTAATGGGTTCGTCTCCCCCAATATCTATCCCAATTACAGCGAGTTCTGCGTCAGTTTCCACCAAGAAACAACTCTTCCAAAGCACCCAGAGCAGTCACCGCGAGCCGCGTATGAATGAAGCCTGAAACGTACCTCCAAGTATATTCAGAGGCGGCCCTCCCGTCTGCACCTGAGTGATGATACTCGCAGCCCCTCCCGCAGCCGCCATGACGTACGTAAATGACAACAGTGGGCTCGACCCTTCCGTATAAGGCGGCGGCGGTTCTGCGTCGTCTACGCTTTTAGCAGAAGACTCTCCCTTGTTGTCTCGCGAAAGTGCAGCTTTGGTATCCGCGACAACGGACGATGTGGCTGCGGGTGAAGAGCAGGTCGAGGTTTCTCCGAGGGCGGGACCAGGAGCGAAAATAGGAATGCAGGGAGCGCTTGCTTCTGTGACTGTGCTCTTGGCTTGGCTAAGCTCAGACTCGGGAACGAGGTAAAGCGACGAAAACGGCGGCGGTCGAGGAGACGGAGGGTTAGATGAGGAGGAACTGGAGGAAGGGGAATGAGGAGGTGGTGGAGGAGGAGAATATGCGTTGTCGTTATCCACGGTGTTGAAGGTGAAGCGCTCACGATATGGCAGCGCCTGATGGTCGAATGACGAATCCTATCGGTCCAACAAAGCGGATTGGAATGGTATCAATATTGAATTGAGGGAGTGCGTGTGGTCTCTGCCTGTGCAATGTCAAAGCTGTCATGGGTTGCATTTCAACTGGGCGCTGGAGGCTTACAAGCTTAATTCAGGTGCTAATGGCTTGTGCATTGAACTCGAGCAGTAGGACGTTATCAGAATGAAGGGCAGCAATCAGTTGGACATTAGTTTTCAGAACGAATCCTCGGTTTCCTCCTTTCGTCTCAAGAAGAGTGCATTGCTGTGGAGTGTCAGGCAAAAACAAACAGGTTGTCTAGGAGGCTAAAACTCCCTTACTAGTTCAACAAATTAGTCCATTAAAGCGTCTGTTGCCATCTGATGGACTGCCTCCAAACAAAAAGTGCTTAAAAGATATATTATTGTGAATAATGCCCCAAGGCCAAAGATTTGTAGCTACAGCGCAATACCCTCTTGTGGATTTACTCCTGTCCCTGAAATTGCCATGGGCATGGACTCCCAATCTTTGCCGAAAGATTACCATTAGAGAAGGCAATCGGGCTGCTAAGTTGTTCGAACCAAGGTCTAAGATACATATTTATTCCCGTGTCAAAAAGGATCTTTATAACCCAGCTGCGTCATCTCTCAGTCGTAACAAGCGCTCCCTAAATAATAATGTCATGAGCATCTAAACCGCGCTGGGAGAGACAAGGTAAGGGATAGCCAATTCGGTGATGGACAAAGTTTGGCTCCCATGTGCCGTTAGGTCTTCCGCATGGGAAGTCGGACAAGCTGTCAACTTTGGGGGTGTCGCCGAGGTGCGGAGAACCTGCCCCTGTATGATCAGAACTGGAAGTGAGTGGCCGAAGATCTACGGTTCCCAAGAAGTCCGGTCCTTAGGAAGACGATAACTTCGATCTTCATGCGAAGTCCGTGGCCGGACTAGGCTCGTCGAACTTACTAGGATCGTCGTGATGAAAGAGAGTGGTTTGTTTATCCTCAACATCGAATTTGTGTGACAGCTTCCTCTGCTCCGGGTAATAGGGTCCGCCTGGGTGAAGGGGCTGAACCGCCTAAGAGGTACATTAGTACAAACGATCGTTGCCCTCTGAATTTCGGCGAGTACCAGTGTCCGTTGTGGGTAACCGAGACATTCATGGAAGGGTACTGACTTGGCGGAACTCGTCGCCTTCGACCGTGACCTCGCGATCTCGAAGTTGCCGCATCAGCGCAAGGAAATTGCTCTCCTTGAATTTTTGACTTTGGTCATGGCTAACACTTTCGAGCAATTGCCCGGCTGTCTTGGCGAGTTCCTCCGCTTCGTCCACCCCTTCTTGTGTTGCTAGAATTGTATCCGAGCCTATTCTTATAGTCTCAAGTGGTGGCGCGACGTTATCCATAGGTTCATCATCCACCTGTTGTAATTTGCTCTCCTGTGATTCAACTTCCGCACGGGCTTCAGCGAATGCGGCCTCAAAAGCAGATTCGTCAAAAACCTCCGTAGCCTGTGAGTTTTGTGGCTGTAACATTTGCGAGCTATCCATTTGGCTGGAAAAGTTGCTCATCGGCTGAAACTGCCTGTTCATCAGGGGGCTATGCATCATCTGCTTCTGCGGCATTGAGCTCGGCTGGATTGACTGCGAATGATTCATGAATTCATTATGCCAACCAGATGAAACGGGCCCGTGGGTGGGTGCCTGTGCCTGAAGTCTATGTTGCACAGTGGACGCTGATGGAGGTGAGATATGGAGATTTTGAAAGTCGGGAGCCCATCCGGAACTCGCCCCAGTGTAGTTTCCTGGTGAGAGATGCGAGCCTGCTTGCTGGAAAACCGGCGGGTTGTGCGCATCTGAGAGGGCCGGCCCTGAAAACCCAGCTTCAAAAGACTGAAATTCAGAGTCTAAGACACCCTCGTTTGGGCTATGAGATCGAAAGCCCTAAAATGTTCCACGGTCAGTGAACTTGACCGGGTTGGTTGCCGCTGTAGATCGGTAACTCACCTGTGCAGGAGAGTGACGCGAAAGGATCCGGTCTTGCTGGAGAGTTCTATCCGTAGCAGCATGCTTCTGGAAATTCTGAAGCGGATTCGAAGGTCCACAGAGCGCGTCTGCCATGATTAAAAGCCGACCGGGGTTTCGAAGTAACAAAAAGCTTAGCGGGTTTAGCGGTGCGTAGGCAAGGGGATATGCGGTATAGCGGGAAAACCAAAAGCAGGAAGCAAACTGGCTGAGATATTCAGCATCTCACTTGTCTCATCCGACCAGAGCTGCTGGAGTTGCGAGAGACGAGATGGAACTGTTGAAAGCGGCTCTCAACCGAGGCGATGATGGAAAGGATGCCGGTTAGAATTTCCCTAAATGGCCGAACATGTGGCTTATGTAACACGATGTTTCGGAACCGGAGCTAGTTTACTCCGGTTATTGATCGATAAGATTAGATCGAGGCAGGGGGTTGGTGGTGGCTATTTTGGCCAGCTATGAAGGTCGCATCTCGACAAAAGGCACCACTGATCTTGCACGCTCCGCTCTAAACGCCCATTGTACAGGCATAGCAAGCCCTTTTTATAGCTAGGTTTTCAAAGCATAGTCTGTACTGCTATAAAATGGTACGTTTGGTTGTTTACCCATTCTCGAGACGCTTTTCTCACTGACATTTCAGGCACAAGTCATAACTAATTCCGGTCATGATGATATGATTGTACGTGCCCTGTTCGCTGATTTTCCATACCAGCACCTTCTGCTCGCGTCTACCATGAAATACCGACACTGTCAGCCTTCTACGACTGCTTGCTGACCGTCTCTAGCACGATGCTGGAATTGATTACTATGGCCGGAGATTGGCGACTTGTTCCTCGGACAAAACAATAAAGATATTTGAGCTGGAAGGTGATTCACATCGGCTTGTTGAGACACTCAAAGGGTTAGAATACATCCTCTATCCGCTGGTTGCTACACAGAAAATTAATTGAGCCTTTACTGAAGACATGAAGGAGCTGTGTGGTGTGTTGCGTGGGTATGTATACTGAACTCCTCTTACGTACCTCTACGAACGACGACATTTTGTTAATTGTCATATTATCTAGGCACATCCTAAATTCGGCACTATCCTCGCGTCCTCATCCTACGATGGCAAGGTTTTAATATGGCGGGAACAAGGCTCCCCCGCCTCAACAGGAAGCTCTTGGAGCCGAGTCTTCGACTTTTCCCTCCACACAGCTTCTGTTAACATGGTATCCTGGGCTCCACATGAGATTGGTTGCCTCCTTGCATGCGCTTCATCGGACGGACACGTTAGCGTTCTAGAATTTCGGGACAACAGCTGGACACACCAAATCTTCCATGCTCACGGTATGGGCGTGAACTCTGTAAGCTGGGCACCGGCCGCCGCACCGGGATCGATTATCAGTGCGACCGCCAATACAGGCCAAATCCGCAGATTTGTGACGGGTGGAAGTGACAATATGGTGAAGATTTGGGATTACAAGTATGTTCCCGTCTTTTGTGGAGTTCATGATGGCATTTTGGATCTAACCACTTATATAGCCCCGAGACAAAAGCATATGTGACGTCGAACGTTCTTGAAGGCCACACTGACTGGGTTCGCGACGTTTCCTGGTCACCAAGCATTCTCTCAAAATCATACATCGCCTCCGCTTCTCAGGATAAGACGGTCAGAATCTGGACTTCTGACCCATCAAATCCTAACGAATGGGCCAGCCACCAGCTTCACTTCGATGCCGTTGTCTGGCGCGTCTCTTGGAGCTTAAGTGGGAATATCCTTGCTATCAGCGGTGGTGATAACAAAGTTAGCTTGTGGAAAGAGAACCTTAAAGGTGAATGGGAAAAAGTGAAGGACATTGAAGAGTGAAATGTGGACCAAATAAGCAATCCTTTCTTTGCTAAGCCATTGCTTTAACTGTATGAGAACAATCCGGCGTGGTCTTTATCTTTCAAGCCTCCCTATAATAGAAGGATGATGAATTTTAGAACCTCGGCTAGCCCGTTATAGCGAACACAAGAGTAAAGAAACCTAGTTCAATCATCTTCTCGGAATCAGCCCGTGTTGTGCTGTCTAAGGCCATCTTACTTCCGCCGCCAATATCAAGGTGCCCTCCAGAAGATAAGCGGGCCACCCTCCCATACAGGGTCAGATTGCATGTTGTACCACCGTCCTATCATAATCTGGCCACCTGGAAGCATCACCGCCTCGTATCCAGTAACCCACTCAAAATAATTTTTCCACTGGTCCGGATCAAGGAGGTAGAAATCTGCCAAGTCCTCAAATATTTCGTACCCGATTGTGCACCATTCGTATTGCATGAAACAAGCCCGTCTCCAACCAGGAGAGCCGCCGTGTGTCCCAGGAAGCGACTCACAATATCCTAAAATCGAGTATAAATAGTCTTCCTCTTCCTCTGCCCACCATGTGGCAGAGAACCATTCTCGATCAAAGGCAGAAGGGGCACTTGGGAACGCATGTTCCAATAACTGGCGCATAGCGGGAAGTATTGGATCAGAGTCGATTTTAAAAAACTGGTGGTACGATGTTAGAACGGAAAGCAAATAGCAAAGGTGTTCGGCGAGTTCTACATACCACATGGGGAATCCTTTCCATATGCGTTCCAAAGTCGGCGCAAGTTTGACGCTCTAAAAGGTTCTCTATTCCCGTATACGGATGTATACAGGCTATGAAAAAGTTAGGCCAGTCGAACAGAAAACCAACGAGCGATTACTGACAATAATATCCCGTCCAGCTGGTGGCAAACTCAAGTCGCTCCCCAAAAGCAACATCCCAGGCTTTAGGTTGAGCCGCGGTTTTATAGGAGGGACGGAAGCTATACTCTTCGGAGCTTGTCAAGTGCCTTTTCCAGAAGTTTCTGACATGCAGAAGCTGCTCCAGGTCAATGTGCCCCCCATTGAATAGCGAGAGTCTACCTTCCGATGAAATGCCGTATGCAATTGCAATATCGTAGTCCTCACGGAGGGCGCGAAACGGCCTTTCTAGCCTCAAAGCTAGATGTGTAAGACATATTTGGACTCCTAGGAATAACTGACTCGGTTTTGCTGGCACTGCGGTATTATAGCCGACGATGGGGCGATGAAAAAATTCACTATCCTCGAGCAATTTTGTAAGCACTTCAACATTCAGTGATGTCCTTCCCCGCTTCACATCTCCTTCACCAAAGTATTTGAAGCTTTCTATAGAGCAATATTAGTTGAAGGCGGATGGCCACAGGGGGATAACCTATACCGTTCATTAAGGGTGGACACCCCTTGCAGCCATAGACTTTCTCTGTCACCTTCACCATTTTCGAAGGTGATGGGCTTCCTAAAAATGATTCGTCGAAACTGGTACTCCCATTTAATCTCTATGGAAGTCTTGTCCGGCGGGTATGGATCATATTCACTCAAAAACATCGAGCGCCAAATACCAGAACTCGGTGGTGTAAGCACTTCCGTAAAGCGCTTGCAGGTCTTCATCAAGTTACCCACATCCCGATCTGTGGGCAAAAAACAGGCGATTTTCTGTATCATCTAGGTTCAGACAGGTAAGTTGGGCATTCAGTCTGGCATCCCCTTGAAATAAATATCACTCTACCTCGCTAGGTAAACCTTGAAGCGTCCCTCGATTCTCGGCGGGCATCCGCAAGTGGGGAGGAATAAGGGATAGCGACATTTTGGGAAACAAAAAATGGTATAAGCAAAGGGCAAATGCAACAAAAAATAATGGAAAAGATTGGGGTGCAAAACGTGTCAAAGGCTTTTTGAAGCAAGTGGAAGCTGTAACGAGGTTGATACGTATTTTCTCATCCAGGTTATGTTTGAGGCTGCGAGTGAACAGAGAAGAATCAGTTCACGAAAAAGAAGCCAAACAGAATGTGGGCAACAGAACTCATGTCGAAAAGGATTGATTTGAAAAATAGACGCTTAGTCGCTCTACTTTAGATGGGTGATAGAGTCAATTGAGCCACTGCCCGCAGCCCGCTTCTTATATTGGGCCAAACATGAACAGAAGCCATCAGAACCCAGTCGCCTAGACGACTGCAGGCTGACGACAGTTTGTCAGCTTGATGCCTTGCACAGATATATTCTTCCTGTTGAAAGCCCATAACAAGCCAGCTACATTCAGCTAAGAAGACTTTGGGTATCAACATCTCGTACAATTGCCAAAGGGCTGGGCCTCAGAATAGGAGCCAGCAGTTGTTCCAGGGGAGATATAACCACTGCATTAAATAACATGAGCATTATTGCAAACCAGCAATTGGTTCAGGCTATTCCAGAGGACCTGAAGCCACTGATGAGTTGGTCAAACTGACAAGTTGTGGTTAATTGGAACATTGGAGGTTCAACTAGCCACCAAGTGCAGAACAACTCACGTGGTAGGACCAGATGTTCATCAACAACCAGCTCAGAACTACTTCTTGAGAACATTTGTAACTGCAACAATTTTAACAGGATAATTGGGTTTGGAAATAGTAGTCTCGCACATTTGCATTTGCATTGTGACAGAATCAGACATATTATTTGTGTCAAGATCCCTAATGGCTAAAGTACATACATCAATCATTTCAGCCTGGATCCAGAGTGGGTGTCCATGCTTGACTTTTGGCCTTCTATCAAATAGCACTCAAGCTTTTAATTTAAAACAACACAAGAAAAGGCAATTAAAGCCAAGAAGCCTGTCAAAAATGTAATACAGACCCCAAAGACAGGAACAAAACACCATGCAAACCTGAACAGACTGGCCTCACACCTATATTCACCTGAAGCCAACCGTCCACCATTATCAGGTATCCTAGGGGTATCTGAGCAATGTTCCAGCCGGTGCCAGCAAAATGCCGTGTACAGGAAAGCAGATAGTCAAACAAGAGTATGAAATAAAAAGGGGGTCGCCTTGAACCTTGGAAGTTAAAACAAAAGGGAATATCTTTAGGCCGTGTTGCAGAATTACAAGAGAGAAGAAAGCCAACTGCCAAAGTGAGAAGAAGAAAGAAATAAATACCGAAGGTGCTGAAGGAATGTTAAGAGTTAACTAGGGAAAGCGATGATCAGAACTGCATGCACAGGTAATTCTTTTCCTCTGAACAAAGTCGTAGAAAATGCCGTAAGAATCATACGATCATTGAGGTCATTCTCATTAACAAAGATAGCGAATACATCGCAAATGGTTATCTAGCTTCAATAAGGAAAACTCAAGCATGGATGCTCAAGGTGGACAAATCGCCTTGCGGTTGGTTGAAAATCTTGCTGAATGGAGGATCCGGGACTGGTGTATCGATCTCAGAGAGCTCACAGACTCCTTCTGCTTTTCGAACGACGTCTTTCAATGCTCTCGTAACAACGCCTGCACGTATAACAAGGTCTCGAAGGGATTGAGTGTCAAAGGCCAGTTTCTGATTTCCATCAGCACCCGTTCTGGCATAACCATTGTCACGCAGCTTCCTTTCACGGTGAATTGTATCGAGAACATATTTTGCTTTTGTAGACGAATCTGTTCGTGGACGGTGGCTCTGCCTTTCATTGCGGGAAGGGTATTCGGTTCCAGGAAAATCAATCTGGTCATCAGCAACTGCTACAGAGTCAAACAACCCCATTGGCTTAGTGGATTCTAGTTCGGCTTCAAAGTCCTCAAGGCTGAATGTGAGTGATGAAGTCGAGCGTTTTATCCTTAGCTCATGTTCATAGTCTTCGCCTTCCTCAAAAGTAGCCAGGCTGATGATGCCATGAGCTTCTTTCCACAATTGGCTTGAAGGGCCTTCAGTGATATGCATCGCCCTGGCGCGAGCCCGAAGCAGTTTAAGCTCCTCAACCAAAACGGTCAACTCTTGGACGTGGCTGAATTGACCGTAAACGCTCTCCTGCCGTTCCATGATGGCTTTAGGAACCTTGACTGTTCTGCTCTCCTGGAGGTTATCTTGCCTTTCCTGCAAAGGGTTTGTTTGGCACAGCCGGTCATTGTCCCCAAAATCGAAGTCGCCATCCCAGTCTTCGCTGGCACCCTTATTCCCTAAACCCCAAGTTGCGAACTTCTTAGCGCCATTTGGCTCCGTCGGAGTAACTGGGTGCTGGGAGAGGGGTACACTTTGGCTTCGAAGATGAAGAGAACTAGATGTACGTCGGATAGCAGTCCTGCCGCCGCGCAGATCAAGAAATTGTTCTATATGAGAAGTCCGTGGCCTGGTTCCGGAACCTTGATCGTCCTTCTTAACCTTTTGTTGCTCGGACCAATCATAAAGACACAATCGCGAACTCTTTTCGGAATTCTCGTTCAAAGTTATCGATGAATGCGGACGATGCGTAGAGATTCTAGATATATTTGAAGTGACCCTAAGATTTGCGGATAGCGGCTCCGGATAAACCGTGTGTTGATGGTCTAATGGGCTATCATCGCTTTGCGATGTGTCGTTATTTGGAAGTTTTGTAGTCCGCCGCAAACGCTGCGAGTGTAAAAACAGACCTGTATCGTAATCGCAAGGCTTGTCCAGGAGCCCTGTTTGAGCCGATAGTGAGTGCTTTTCCGCATACTGCAATGCGGAATTGCTGCCAGAGTACGTTTTGAGAGTTTGACTAACGCCCGTCGAGTGATTGGTTGTGGTGTCAGCCTTGGAAGAGCAATTTTCGTTAGCTAGAGAAACAAATTTTGTGGTCATGGTTGAAGTTGAGCTAGGTTGATCGAAAATAGTTTCAATACGCGGGCCACGCCGGCTTGACTTGCTGCTACTCGCTGCACGAGTCGGAAATGAATCGAAGGCAATGTCACTCTGAAAGTCAGTGTCATCTTCTTCCCCAGAGCTGAACACTTTGATATCGTTATCAGACCCAACTAAAGTTGATGCAGGATCCGATGCCGCAGACGAGTGCCGCTGATTTGAACGATTTTCCGCTGGATGCCCTGTAGAAGTCGGCGAACTAGGAGTAGAAGATCCCTTGGATGATGGCTTGCTATCAAACCCCGGGGAATTGGGAGCAGCGGCCGCCAAATTGAGGGCTTCGCATCGGAGGTTTGTAAAATGTGGGAGATGCCGCAAACGCGCCTTTGGAATAAACTCCTCGGTAGTGGCGCCAACTCGATTGAAACGGCTAGCGGACAACTCTGCATGGGACGAAGTACTCGGGCGCCGAAAAATATCTGGATCGGTGATGTTTCCTCTCCGGCGCATGCGCATAGAACTTCCGTTAAGCTTTTCAGTTTTGGATCTTTCGGACATGTCCACTGGCGAAATCTCCAAGTAGACATTGGTTTGTGTGAAGGAAGATCGAGGGGCCATATTCCTTGGCATCGTCCACGGGGACGCAAACTCCTCATGGCTAGTTTCCTGCATGGAAGGAAAGGTTTTTAATGGCTCGATTTCGCTGGTAGACTGGTTTGCAGATGGGCTGGCCCCCGGTCCCACCGGATCCCAAGAATAATGGCTTTTGTGAATCTTTCGCTGGTCTAGATTGGGTGTAGGGTTGGGCTTTCGTTCCGGAGTGATGGCGGAAGCAAGTAACAAAGTAGGAGGAACATTGGACTGTACTATATGCCGATGTGGGGAACGGGTTCGATGTTTGGAAGCCGTAGCTCGTCGCTTGCTGTGGCTGTCTAAAAGATTTGTATGACGAGACTTGCTAAAGTACGGTCGCCATGATCCATTGTGATGTAGGTTGGGAGTACTGTTCTCACCTTGAACAGGGCAATCGGGAAGTGTCTGGGGGGGTATTAGCCCTACTCGACTATCGGTGGATGAACGGTGGCGCATATGTGCCGATCGTTGGTGACTAGTTGCCGGGCGGCGTAGAAGATGTAAAGACGCAGGTGCAGGATTATGAGGCGAGTGCGGTTGTAGCCCATGTGAGGACATTGAGCGTTTCACAAGTTTGTTGGGCGAAGGAACAGGAAATTGCGATGGGAAAAAGGGCGTGGTGGAACTGTTTACCGACGGGGACTGCGGTCGCGAGCCGGAAACCGAGCTTCCGTTCAATGAAGACGTGATTGTCGAAAGACGCCTTATCCAAGATGATGACGGCCTTCCGGTAGTAGTGGGCGACGGAAGTACTTCATCTGTGCCTTTTCCCTCGGTGATGTTGATTCCTGGGCCTACATATGTCCGACGACGGGGGCGTAGGCCAGTTCTATCACTCGGTTGGTGCGTCAAATTGTTCGACTGTGGGTGTACGCATTCGTCCAAAGACAGGTGGCCAGTCTGATTCTGTGAAAATGGCTGCTGTTGCGAAGGACTGGACGATACACCGTGGGCGACGATTGCAGGACGGGACTCAAAAACGCTATTTGAAGGCGAGTGGTAGCTCCTGGCGATTAAAGATTGTCTTCTTCTGGCGGTTAACGGGCGTTGTTTTGTCGGCGAAGGTCGTCCCAAAGCGAACCCTGTGGCTGCGATGCCAACTGTGCCGGCAGCACAGAGCTAATACAACAATCAGTCATTAGCGTAGAAAAGAACACGGCAGTCAAGTATGGATATCGCCCAAGCTTTCGAAACGAACAGTAGGGGGAGCGCAACATCAAGCGCCTCATATACCGGAGGGGAATCAGAGGACAAGGTGCCAGCGAGCGAACGCGCTTGGGGCAGATTGGGCATTTATTCTTGAAGCACTTACTGTTGAAACATGCTCCATCTTCGTCAAATAGTCAAATTAAAACCCCAGCGCCACATGGATGGTTGAGTCCCCGACCAGCTGGTTGAGGCATACCTCACATGCTCTCCATGGTCGTCGTTGATCGCTGTTGGCGCGTATTGAATCCCTAGAACATCAATTGGCCAGGAGATGGGGGATTCGGTGCTCTGGGGGAATTCAGGTCGAAGCGTCGAGTCCCAGACAATCGCCAGCAGGGTCGCCGAAGAGAGGAGTGTTTCGGACAAGTGCGTGGTGATGCCGTGAAAGTGAGGAGGTGTTTTGGACCAAGGTTTGTTGATGGCTATCCTATTTTGGGGGGGGGTTGTGCTCCGGGGTGTTTGCGCTGGAATCGCCGGACAGCCTTGGACAACCAACCTCGCGGAGGGACCAACTTTAAACCCACAGCTGTTTCAAACCGGCACAGAAGGAAACTGAAGGAATCAGAGTGTGAGCTGGCCAGCTCGTCTCCGGAGCGCTTGACTGCAAATGCCCTGCGGCGTTTTTAATAATAATAATGAAGAGGCGGCGGGCTTGATTCGTTTGTTATGGTGGAACGAGGGTCCAGATAGGGGGGCTCGCGGATCGCTGGCTGCTGATTTGTTTTCAGCGCCAAACCCAGACGCGGGAAAAAAGCAACCAAAGAGCGCCGGTGATTGGCTTGGACTCATGGTCAAACCTGCGATCCTGGTGGCACCAATCTGGCCTTCGCAACTGGTCTGAAGCGCACGGCGTCCTCCGTGGTTATGCAGGATTGAGTTCTCCAGGGCCCAATCTCAGAACACAAGTCGATATCAAAAACATCATGGACCTGGGATTGCAGCCAATTGTGGTGCTCGCTACCCCTTACAGAATATTCCTCATGACTACTCTTCCCTTGCTCCGCATCTCATCTCTCTCCGCGATGCGACGGACGTCGATGATGATGAATCCAGCTCCAGCCCGAAGATGCCAGGAAAACGAGGTTCGCTAATCAATCAGCAAAGCTTCACACCCACCCAAACCCACAGTTTTACTTTAGGGCCCTGTCATGGAGGGCCACCCATGCTGGAGAAGCCTCAAACAGGGAATGGCGAATCTTCCTGCTCCGGAGTGCATGGATCCATAACTTGGGCTGAGCCGAGATGGAATTACGAAGCACGGAAGAAACGGATCAAAAATGGCCCTGGGAGGCACCCATCCGCATTCAGGACATATCGGTGGTGTTACAGGCACTTCGGATTCTGACTATCACGCAGTCTCCAGCCCTGGTTCCTGATCCTGCCCTACGAAGCTCAAATGCTTTGCATAACATACAGAGTAACTAAGTTAGATCAAAGTGGTTGAAATGCCGGCTGGAAGCTCACTCGACGCCATTAGTCAGCATGGCTGACCTGCCGCGACAACAAAACCTTTCATCATCGTGTCTGGCTGTGCCGTGTCTTGCAGTTTTCAGACGATCATTTTTTTTACTTCTGCGCTCGGTAGTACGAATCAGATAGTCTTCAACTAGTTAACTACATAGTTTAATCATGGAGTCTGAAATCCAGGCGCAGATCCCTGGCATCGACCATGTGATATCAGAATACTCAGTGGTCAGTTTGCGTTCATATTCAGAAGGGTATCAGAGGCAAACGAGTGTAATATACTGATACTGCTTCTTAGGGCTATCTGACTCACGCATCCAAGGCCTATGTCGAGGATGTGGAGTCCTCCGCTCAATCACCATTATCAGAAGCCGCGGAAACTGTAACTTCATTGCTGCTCTCTGCCTCTGGAAATTTTACTCCTGAAAACGAAATCGCAATTCGAAACTTAGTGGAAAAATTCATTTCCTCTCTGAGCGCTGCAAATGGCGTGGATGCTGAGCGCAGGCAGATGCCATTTGCCGCAAAGAAGCTTGATCAGACAATTCATGTCGGATCGCAGAGAAACATCTCCTCAACCCTTGGGTTAACAGGAGTGTCCGTTGACCTTGAAGCCGCGGCTTCTAGAAAGGTTGAGTCTCGAGTGGACAAGAAGAAATTGGAAAAGGCAGAACGGAAAATCAGAGCCAAACAAGATAAGAAGACCATGAAGAACGTTGAATATGAGGCATCAAAACTACTCAATGAGCCCGATAGTACCCAGTCCTACGAAGAATTCTTCATGGCAGTTAATCCTTTGCAATTGGGCTCAGATGCGCAGTCAAAGAGCAAAGACATCAAGGTCGATGGAATCGACGTCTCCATTTCGGGAACGCGAATATTGACCGACACTTCCCTAACTCTGGCGTATGGGCGGCGGTATGGCTTGGTTGGTCAGAACGGTATCGGAAAGAGTACACTCTTGCGGGCCCTGAGCCGTAGAGAAGTTGCCATCCCAACTCACATCTCCATCCTTCACGTCGAGCAAGAGGTCAGTACCCGTTCCGCAAACATGCAAAGAATATGCTAACGTTTCTTCTAGATACGGGGCGATGATACCCCGGCCTTGCAAGCCGTCCTTGACGCTGACGTTTGGCGCAAGCGCCTTTTGGCGGATCAAGATGTGAGACGATCCCGATAAAGCCGTGCCTACGTAATTGGGATAAATCGCTTACCTGCTTTATAGAAAATTGTGGCTCAACTTGCAACAATAGACACAGAAAGGTCAACAATGGCTGATACGTCCAAAGATGCAATCAAACTGGATCAAGAACGCGAGGCGCTTGATACCACACTTGCAGACATCCATGCCAAATTAGCAGAGATGGAGTCCGACAAAGCCGAACCTCGCGCAGCTAGTATTCTTGCAGGTTTGGGATTTTCCCCCGAACGTCAACAATATGCGACAAAAACCTTCTCTGGAGGTTGGCGAATGCGTTTGGCCTTGGCTCGTGCGCTGTTCTGCGAACCGGACCTTCTGTTACTTGACGGTAAGGTCTCCGAACTCTGCCTATAAAACGTCAAGCTCTATAGCTAATATTCCTAGAACCGTCAAACATGTTGGATGTCCCATCCATCACTTTCTTGTCGAATTATTTACAAACATACCCCAGCACAGTCTTGGTTGTTTCGCACGACAGGGCTTTCCTCAATGAAGTGGCGACGGACATTATCCATCAACACTCCGAGAGACTAGACTACTACAGGGGCGCCAATTTCGGTAAGCAGAGGCTCCGGCTTGAATATGCATCTAATAAGCTAACACGAACCAGATTCGTTCTATGCTACTAAGGAAGAACGGAAGAAGAATGCCAAGAGAGAATATGAGAACCAAATGGCACAGAGAGCCCATTTGCAAGGTATCTTCATTCGAGTAACCAAGTTGGTGGGGAATCATTTGCTGATTTTACCGCTTCTAGCCTTCATTGATAAATTCAGATATAATGCTGCCAAAGCTGCTGAAGCTCAATCCAGAATCAAAAAGCTTGAGCGGATGCCTGTTCTCGCGCCTCCTGAGAGCGAATATGTCGTCCACTTTAAGTTTCCAGATGTCGAGAAATTATCGCCCCCAATCGTGCAAATGACTGAAGTTTCTTTTGGGTATACCAAAGATACAACACTACTCAAGAATGTCGACCTTGATGTGCAGTTAGATTCGAGAATCGGCATTGTTGGACCCAATGGTGCTGGAAAGACAACGGTTTTGAAACTCCTTACCGGTCAGCTCGAACCTTCGTCGGGACTTATCTCTCAACACCCCAGACTTCGGATTGGATTTTTTGCGCAACACCACGTCGACGCGTTGGACATGAATACAAGCGCAGTTGGCTTTATGGCTAAGAACTACCCAGGGAAGACGGACGAGGAATACAGACGGCATCTCGGAGCGTAAGTGATGAACAGCTCCCAACTAATGATATAACACTAACCATACTATAGATTCGGAATTACTGGCATGACTGGCCTTCAAAAGCTTGAGTTCCTATCCGGAGGTCAGAAGTCCCGTGTGGCATTTGCATGCATATCCCTAACAAATCCCCATATCTTGGTGCTTGATGAACCGTCCAACCATCTTGATATCGAAGCCATGGATGCACTTTCTGAAGCACTTCAGAATTTCCAAGGAGGAGTCTTGATTGTTTCTCACGATGTAACTCTACTCCAAAATGTTTGCACCAGCCTTTGGGTTTGTGACAAGGGGTCAGTTGAGAAGTTTTCTGGAGATGTCAATGCGTACAAGAAGAGGATTTCAGAGCAAGCCAATGCAGCTGGTGTTGCTGCTGCGCACTGAGGTTGTGACTTGAGGGATTAACACAAGGCAAAAAGCAGTTGTGATTTTTGTGAGCCCTTGTAACGAGGTGAACTGGATAATCAGCAATTAAATGTTGATAACTGTCACTTTTCAGACATAAAACAAGAAAATACCTTATCCTTCAATGTACTCTGTATATCAAATGATAATTTCCATCTCATCCATCTCTGTGTTTGGTCTGGCCCAACCGATGTTCCTGCCAAGCCTGCCATTAGTTAACTAACATCTGCATCATGAACTTGTCTATCGCGAACTCTTCATCTGTTGCGCTTCTTCGTAACCGACGCAATAACAAGTCTCGCATGCAGATTCTTCATTCTCAGTCAATAGCAGCAGCGAGAACAGAAAATGCAGACGAAAACAACCGAGGACTCGAACTTGAAGAAATGCAGGCCGTAGACGACGACCACACTTACAACCCCGGCGCACCGCTTCTCCCGCATAACCGCACGGCTGGATCTGGCTCGAGAAATCTTTCAGGAGGTGAAGAAGCTCGTAGCGGCACTGGGCCCGTCGCTGAGGAATCAATAAATGGTGTCTCTGCAACATGGTTTATATGGGCGCTCACCTTGTCGGCAGGACTCAGCGGCCTGCTGTTTGGATATGAGTACGATGCAACGTTCTTCTACTTTTTGTGGTATCCCATGGTCTCCGGCCCGGGGATGCAATTCTTTTACATATACCCTTGCTTATGATACATTAAACTATCCTGACTTGGGTTTTCCTGATAACGTAGTACCGGCGTCATTTCATCGACCTTGGTGTCTATCAAGACCGATCTGTCCCATCGAGAACTCACCACCTTGGATAAGAGCTTGATAACATCATGCACAAGTTTATTTGCGCTCGTTGCCAGCCCCATCGCGGGTGCACTGGGAGATAAACTGGGACGAAAACCCGTTATCTTGATTGCAGATGCGTTATTCGTCGTCGGGGCGCTTTGGCAAGCGGCCACGTCTGAGGTCAGCGGGATGATCGTTGGACGGAGCCTGGTGGGTTTGGCTGTTGGAACCGCCAGCTTGATTACGCCCCTGTATGTGCATTCGCGTGTTCGTCTATTTTGCACATGCTAAGCTGCCCCCAGATCGGAGGGAAAAGTGCATCAAGTTGGATTCAATGAATGACCTGCTAATTTATTACTTTGCTATCATATTAGGTACATTGCCGAACTCTCCCCGTCGGCCATCCGAGGTCGATTAGTGACTGTTCTTGCGCTCTTCATCACTGGTGGCCAGGTGGTGGCCTATGTGGTTGGATGGCTGCTATCAACTGCACCGTCGGGTTGGCGGTGGATGGTTGGTGTAGGCGCCTTTCCCGCACTGGTTCAATTAGCAATTCTGGTGTTTCTCCCGGAGACACCAAGGTGGCTGATGAAAATGGGCAAAGACGTCAAAGCGCGTCGAGTTTTAAGCAAAGTATATGGCGATACTGACTCAGTCAAGCAGGCGGTTGACCAGATTATCCATGGGATTGAAACTGAAATCAATGAAGATGGCCCCATATCAACTCATGTGCGAGACGCTACCTCGGGCAGCTCACTTCCACAGTGGCTGATTCCAATATCACAGAATTGGACCAGCCTGTTCCGGGTCCCTGCTAATCGTCGTGCCTTGACAATAGCCTGCATGCTACAGGGCTTACAGCAACTATGCGGTTTCAACTCACTAATGTACTTCTCAGCAACCATTTTTGATATCCTCTCTTTCGCCTCGCCAACTCTGACTTCACTATCCGTGGCGGTGACAAATTTTCTTTTCACCCTCCTAGCTTTCTATCTCATTGACCGCATCGGCCGCCGACGGATTCTTCTCTACTCAGTCCCAGTTATGGCTTTCGCCCTTATCCTATGCGCAGCCGTTTTCCCCAGCATGGCCAACCTTCCAGCCCCATCTCCGGATCAAGGTTCCCCAAGCGGAATCAATCACAAAGCCGCCACCCAATCCCGCCTCGATCCCATCCTCATCCTCATTTCCCTAACAATATACACCGCTTCTTATGCATCTGGCCTGGGAAACGTTCCCTGGCAGCAATCCGAGCTTTTCCCCCTCCAAGTCCGCTCGCTTGGCTCCGCACTCGCAACAGCGACCAATTGGGCTTCAAATTTCATCGTGGGACTTACATTCTTGCCGCTCATGGAGCTTATTTCTCCCGGTTGGACATTCTTGATCTATGCCGGCGTTTGCGTTGTGGGTTGGCTGACTGTGTGGGGGATTTATCCGGAGATGAGCGGACTGGGTTTGGAGGATGTCGGGGGCTTGCTCGCGGATGGTTGGGGTGTCGGGAAGAGTCTAGAGAGGTTTGCCAAGAGAAGAGGTGATATTCCCGGCGGATAGGGGCAGGCTCTTTTTTTTCCTACTTGTGTGATGTCAGGCAACAATTTGGCGGGCAGTTTTGAGAATCTTTGGGGCGTTTGGACAATGCTTTGGCCCTTTTGTAATAAGCTTGGCCTGTTTGGCGTTTGAAGCTGTCACGTTTTGTTGGATTTTACTATCATACTATATACCAAACTATGTATGTTGCTCCGGCCTCACAGAGGCCCTGCAAGCTTTCCTTGATTCCTCAAGCTGGATTGTCTTGTTCACGAGTACACCGCGTATTCTGGAGCAAAGGGAAACATGCGGTAACCGATAATATAACTTCTTTTTTTATTACTTTTTTATTGTATGTATGCAGGTATATATACTTCAAGGGGTATCACTGGCGAGTATTAGGAATTAAGTATGTACAAGGCCGTTATAACATCTAGTCATGACCACGTAAATCAGAAATGTTCAACTTTTCTGGGGAAGAAAACATGCGAAGGAGGCCTAGGGGAATAGTTCGTAACGAAATGCCGTCTAGCAGAAAGAAATGGAAAGCAATAAATATATACGTGATGAAGAACGCGGTCCTCGTCTTAATGGTTGATTGAGAAAGGTGTAATCAGTGCGCAGAGGCGAAGAGGCATTAATATATAGTTCGAGAAGTTCATTGTTGATACTCCAATTCCTCTTCCGATGCGAATTGCGGCGTAAATTTACTCCTTGCACGAATCCGGTGTCCGTACATGTAGAAAATGAATGGAATTGGTGCCAGGACAACAGCAATGCAGCCTAACAGAGTCCCTGCCCAATTGACCCCCATTCCATTGAACTAAAGATTAGAAGTTAGTGTCGTGCAGCAGCAAGCGAATAAAGGGGTTACACTTACCATATACTGTGAGAAGAGCGGAAATCCGGCTGCGGCAACTGATCGAAGGAGAGCGTTGGCAGCTATAGCAGAAGCCGCACTATCACGAAATCAGTAAATGCCATTCCAACGGAGAAAAAAGATAAAAGAGAAAACGGGGCTGAAGTGCAGAAAGGGGACGTACAATAGTAGATAAGCATCTATGATATAGTTTAGAGATTGCAAAAATATGACCAGGAGACCCGAAACCCGTCAGAATGCCCAGACAGCGTCGGCACAATCCAATGGATACTTGCTTTGTAGCCAGACCCAGCCAAACCAGAACAAACCCGGCTGCAAATGCGATCCCTCCAACAATGACATGAGGAAAGACGCCATTCAGGAACCGTAACATTATTATTTGCAGCAAGTTTTCGAGCATACCAGGGTTGCGAAAGGATAATCGACATGCCACCGATGAGTTGGCCAACAATCATACCGAAATAGGGGAGGCCTCCGATGCCCTTACTAAAGCCATGGATCTGCTGGAACACAATCGGGTAAGCGGTGAGAAAGAGATAGAGGAGGCCATATATAAAAGCGGTATATATGCTAAGAAGGAGAACAATGGGCTCGGTGAAGAGAATTTTGAGCGGTCGACTGAAGTTCTTCTCGACCAACTCGGTAAAATCGACTTCAATCTCCTCTTGTTTCGCATGAATTCCCCAGTTCTTAGTCCGACGACGTAACTCGGCCGCTTTTTGGATAAGGACAACGGGCGGGTAGGTTTCCGCAAGGAAAAAGTAATCAAGGAGCAAAGCGCTGGCACCCAGGATTCCAGGTAGATACGCAGTCCAACGCCAACCAAGGTGACTTTCGACAATAAAACCGCCAATGAACGGTGCTAGGAGCGGGCCGGTGAAGACGGTCATGGAAAAAGGTGTGATGGCAAGGCCTCTGAGTCGGTTATCGAACATGTCAGAGAAGATAGCGGCGACGACAGCTATCGGACAAGCGCCGAAGAAGCCTCCGAAGAAACGGCAGAGCATAACTGTTTGGAGGTCCTTCGCGGCTGCGACGCCAAACTGGAAAACTGTGAAGCCGAACATGCCCACGACAATTGGTAAACGGCGCCCCTTGAGCTCAGACAGAGGCGCCCAAATAATGGGACCGGTTGCGTAGCCAAGGACGAAGAGCGATAGTCCCAAAATGCCGACTTCAGTAGAGACGCCAAATATTCTAGCTATATCGCCCGTCGCGGTGGAAAAGATGCTGCTAGTAAAGGATGAGATAATAGTCGTCCAGGCAAGCATCACGGCGGTGGCTACCCTACGAGTGGAGGAAAAGGTCAGTTCTGATATTCTCATATAAAATCTTGGACAATTTTTATTCGAGGGAGAGCGTCTGCATACTTTCGTTTCATGGACCAGTTCTGAGGATGCAGAGGGTCATTTGGACCGTCAAATTCAACGACATACTCCTCCTTTTCCGGTAACGGCGGGGGATATGGCTTCCCTGCGCCGAATGGCGGCAGAGGACCCTTTGGGACCCTCGAACGAACCCCCGCTCCAACTGTTGCGCTATGTTGGCTCCGCTGAGTAGCGATGCGGCTCAGTGCGGTGGGATGACGCTCCAAGTCTCGATACGTTGGCGCTCTGAACACGTCTGCACCTCCTAGGCTGGACGCGACGGAAGAACTGGTTCTTGAAGAGGATATGGAGGACCGGGATAGCTGTTGGGATAGTTCTTGCTCGAACGGAGGGTGCAAGTGGCCTTGACCAGCATCGAGCTCGGCCTTTTCAATATCCCGAGAAACAATATCCATCATGGGTTCACACAAGGGCGCGAAAGACGCCGGAAGGTTGAGAATGAGACGGATCGGCTGATTTCGGTATGGATGAGACGGATGTTGAAAACAGAAGAGTAAGTTCACGGCCCTTGAGAGCTAGAGGACGTAGTATATGATACTGAAAAGAAAGAACGTGTGCATCTATTTACACAAGGGACCAGAAGTAGAATGGCAGCGGTAGTCTACTTTGTATAAAGATCTATGAATGCGAAACTGTTCGAAAAATCCGTTGCGATAAACTGGCAAACTTGAGGCTTCTCAACAGTTCCATAATCATAGTACTATATAGCCAACAGGTGCGGAACGGGATGATGAGAGGTGGCAAATGTCTTGAAAATCTTGAGGTTGAAAGTTGGACATCCATCATAGTGTTCTGGATGCAATCGCCCGGCGGTACCGTGTCTAAGAACCACCCGCTGGTGGGTTGTTAACTTTTCTAGATAGATAAAAATATGAGAAGAATGGCCTGCTATCCTATCAAGCTCGACAAATTGGCGCCGGTTGGTGAACTGATTGACGTCGGCTTATCAATTGATCATGTCTTTCGAATGCGGAATATTAACCAAATCATGCCGGATGATGTCAAGGAGAATCTGAAAAATTGCCGGGAGTGCTTGAATTCGGCACCGATTTGCCGAGACACGATCAAGTTCAGAGGGGAGTGTGGCGCGGACAAAGCTCCTCACAGAGTCACAGATCGACAGAGAAATAAATAATAGAGAAAATCGACATCGAATGATGGCATCCATGACTGCCGACATCATTTCTCGAAGGCTATCGTCGGCCAAGGAAGAGTTATCCGGAGATCATTTCATTTCGCTTCTTCTCGAAAAATTTGTTCCTTGCAAAGGCTTGGCATCCGTGGCTGGAGTCGTGCCTCTCTCAGCCCTATTATTATTGATCGTGATCCTCGATCTCTCGCCACGCTCTGGTTCTGCTGGTTGTCCACTAGAGTTTGGTAGTAGGATGGATCGCCTTGTTAAAAGGCACAGATGAGCGATACGCTGTCGTCAGGTCGAAGTGACCAAGTAGGGTTCTGCGATCCAGTTTGGGAATCTTGCACATTGATAGCTCGCCTCGCAAAAGGGACATGCTGTCTGTGCTGCGGTGATACGCCCGACTCCGTCAATCGCCAGGTAATTCACTTGGCCAATCCGTCCACGCATGAACGGTGCCAACAGCACCTTGAACCCTCAACCGACGGAACAACGTTAGCCCATGACATGCTCCAAAGATGAAACAATTCCCGCCCGCGTCGTCCGTAGGATTGGGTGCTCAGCCCCAAGCTGAAATTCAAGGAAGACAAGCACTCACTAATACTCATGAACCGCTTCTTGCAATCCCCTCTCAAAGCAAGGGGATCCAAGGCTCAGATTGCTTCTAGCCCAACTGACTTTTGATGGTGAAAACCTTGCTCTTGGAGTCGCATTGAACAAGCCATGACCACTCGAGGGCCGCTGCAGCAGACCCTAAAGCGGCCGTCTCTGACCAACAGTCCCATAAGTGTGAGCGGTTTGTCTTTCATCCCCGACGAGATGTGGTTGTTGCTCCGTGGGAACAATAGAAGAGAGCCATTGCTCCATTCGTCTTTATTGCGGCGGGGCCCCCTGTGCCGCACCAGGGCCAAAGCTGCACGCTCTCATTGGCTGGGTCGCTTGCGCTAGTTCCGGACCAGTCCTAGCGCCGCGGCCCCTGGCTTGCGCCTGGCCAATCACAGCCCGCGGTCCCCTGATGCCAAGACCCGCAAGCAAAGTTGGCACTCAACGTGGATCGCGCCTCCCTTTTCCAACTGTCCCTTCCTCTCTCGTTGTTGTTTCAACCTCTTCCTTCCTCCATAAGAATGTCGAAGCTCTCTCCTTCCTCGCCGGCGTTCTGTTGACAAAACATCCCCCCCGTTCTGCGGGCAAGCCACTCCTTAATGGATCTCTGATCGTTGCACTCCTTCTTGTTGAATCCAACTGCTGTCTCTCCTTTACCAGATCCAAATCCGCTCGCTTGGTGCCCATTACTTCCTAATCGTGCCTCTACGAGCACCATTAGTCGTGGTTTTCGACATTCGAACTCGTACGCCTGCCTTAATATCAACTTTTTTAACTTAATACCTTCGATCCGTCGAGCCTGAACCCGCGGTTGTTAGCTTGTATGAGAAAGTGATAGTTTCGACAACGGCTGGTTCAAAAGCCGTGCCATAGTTAACTGCTCTCCCTGGCAAGAAATGGCGCGTCACGCCTTTCAGCCCGCATCTGGCCTGGTGCCTCGCGCACTTGCAATCCCGCTCGACCGCTCTATTCTCCTGACCTCCCTGGATCACCCCTCGCACGTCAAGCGAAGCCCTGCCGCGACCGCTTCGAGTTCTGCAGCAGCAACGACATCTTGCGGGCCAAATGATACCACCGGCATCTGTACTCGACCTGTTAGTAGCACAACTACTATGACGTTGCCTATCGTACTGGGTGCGGCGTAAGTTCACTGGTCGTAAAGTAAAGACGTACCAACGAGATATCTGATTTGGTCGTTAGGATTCCTATAACCTGTGCTATCATCGCTTTCTTCTTTCTGCATCGACGACATGTCAAGAAGTTGCGGCTTGAGGACGCGAATGACAAGCATAAGAGTCTCGATTTTGGCCTAGACTTCGTCCCCTCTGGAAGCAACAACAATAAACGGGGCAACGGGGGCAACGGCGGACTTATGGGCGAGAAGTCTACTCGTCAGCGTGCACATGGCGTCTCGCTGGACCTGACTATGGGCAATCCGTACCTTCTACCGCCAGTCTCCATGGGATCTCATGAATCCATCCACTCCTTATCCAAGTCGTTGCACGGAGGTGATGACAAGTATCGTCATGCAGCCGCTTTTCCATCCAGTGAGAACCGGTTCCGTACGCTCCCTACTCGGCCTAGTTTTAAACACGGAGCCGATGATGCCTCTACCCCACACTTCTCCCAGGCGCCAGATTTGCCCATGGGGATGAAATGAATCATAATCTGCTTAAAAACGCGCAGCGGATGTCACGATGTTCCCCAGTGATACAAACAGATCCTGCTGAAGGCGACCTAGGTCACTCCGTTCTCCAGCCAACAAACCCTTTGGCATCCGAACCTCGCAGCCCGCTTTCCCCCCCGGGCCGAAACGAGCTTACTGTGCCCACATCTTATGGCGATAGAAACTCAAGCAGCAGCTTGACAAAGAGCAATCAGTGCTGAGAAAAAGTAACAATTACCTTGGTGCCCTGATTCAGCGAGGTGACGCACCGTCTCCGGAACAGGAGCCTAAAAGCACACCTCCACCCCCGGCACCGATTACTCGGGATGAATCGAGTAGCGAAGAAAAGGTTATAATTGATCCTCCAAAAGCCCATGATCCTGCGGGTAAATCAGATCTTAATAATGCGAGTGCTTCGCCCCGAATTTCGCTTCCGCTTGATGACGACAAGAGTGATTATGGAGACGCCTCGAGACAACCGAAAGAGCCTGTCCCTCAGCTGAACATAGAGGATTCCGAAACGCCACCACCAAATGGTGGGGATAAACCTCCTAGCCCGTCGCATGATATCTACGATGATTACTATGACGCAGGTTATCAGGTTGACACACGCCGGTTAACGGTGGGAGTGCGTCCTCTGCCTCCAGAGGATCCGTCAGATAACCCGGAACAACGAGCAAACCGCATTCGATCGTTCTACAAGGAGTATTTTGATGAGACTAAACCTCAAGAAGACTATTATGAAGACTACGTTCCTGAGACGACTGGCTATGGCGCATACGATCCCTATGGGGATCAGGGATACTACCAGCGCCCTCCTCCCTTTATGCAACCTGAAGGACGACGGGCGATGACCCCACCACCGAGAATGCCACAAATACCCGCACAGTATCGCCGGCCTGGTCCTGGTTATGGCCCTCCAAGCAATGGAAGCCGTTCTGGGACACCTTCCTTTTCCAGTGGACCGCGCGCTTTCTCGTCAGCGTCCAACCGCATGCCCGTCAGAGGACCCAGGAAGCCTCAGCCACCACCGTCTCCGCTGCACGTTCTGCCTACTCCCCACAAACTTAAGGACGATTCAATCACACCGATTGAGTTTGCGCCTGGCACCACCTCTCGTGAGCGTAGAGCAGGGCGCCCGGAAACACCACATGGTGGTCTCAAGCCGTATATGCTCACGGTGCCGGCTCATGTCCCGCTCGCATCGTCGTATGACGATCTTGCTATTCTGCCCAGCCCGTAAGTACATTCCAGCTCTCCTTTGATATTTCCGCTAACTGGCTCTTGCAGACATGCACTGAGGAAATCTGGGGCGTTTACCGCTCTAGATTTTGTTCCTCCATCGCGGTTCAAGAACAGCGATTTTTCCAGCGACGCTGGTAGCATTCGCAGCAACAGAACCGGCATCTCGGCGGCCCAAGCATACAGCATTCGCACGGGCGCCTACCGTCTCAGCCGTCTCCCACCCCAGACTGTCGGCACCAAGGACGATATCATTTCCAATCTCAAGCCCACTTGGGACATGAAAACTTAGACGTGTTGATTATCAGTCATTTTGCCTTTCATGTTCAGCGGAAATGTTTTATTTTATGAGCATTGAATGTCCTGTTGCGACTACATGATGATTCCGTGATAATCGCGAATTTTCGCATCTGGAGCACGTTATTTCTGTATCTTCTTTCCACATACACTTTTTCCACTTGGGTATTTTTAGGTGTTTATAGACTCGGGGGCTCGGGGACGTCTCTGCCCTTCGAGACCGCTATGGTTGGAGATTTGTGTTCCCCGTTGGCGAGTTGATCTTCAATTCAGGTCTTTGTGTACTTCAGGTAGTTTACTTGATGGGCAGAGCGGTATGGTATATATTCAGTGAGAGAAACAAAGGTCAAGCGAGAGTAATCGACAAGAGCATTTTTAGGTAACCTTTACCTAGGTACAGGGTAGCAAGCGCCGTAACACATTGAAAGTGGACAATTTCACAGTTTCTCCTTGTGGTTCTGGATTGTGTTTTGTGGGTCAGGAACAAAAACTGTAAGTTTCGATTGTTACTCTGGATAGACGGCGCTCACGGGTGAGTTTGCCGACCAGGACGTGCTGTTAGCTGTATGACAATGGTATTCACGCTGCAGCAGGTGGACTTGATAATGTACCCCTTTCTCTTGAGAATGCGATTAGGTTGGACTTGTTCTGTGGTCAAACAACGGCTGTCTTCTCTCTGCAGCTCCATCACAGATTCTGCACCCCCGTCCGGCCGAGCAATTCTGGGTTGCAGCTGGGCAGAAAACGTGGCTTGTTAGTACGGTAAACTAAAACAGCGGCTGATTAGCGATGCTTCCACTCTCCAGAACTCTTGTCTCTCCTCGAACAGGCAGAGAGTAATTAAATGTTCACAATTGGAAGAAACTAAAGTGATCCAAGACTCTCAATTGAAAATTCATTTTATTATTTGAGCAAAGGTATTCAACATCAGAGGTCTCTGGTCCCCAGAGTGCGACACGCGGTCTCGTCGGTCCACCGACGTTACAGTCCCCATACGCGCGTAAAGAAACGCTCCTCTTGTGTTTCCAAAAATGGACCGACTCTAACAAGTGCTGCTAGTGTCAGCTCCCACTTGGCGTTGCTTCTGGCCGTCCACTCTCTCTCTCTCTCTCGCTCTTCTTTTTGAGGTCACTTGACAAGTTCTCTCTACTGCTTCTTTTGCTTTCCCACAGCCTTCTTCGACTCTCTTGTTGCCAGCGTGGTGATTATCTACACAGTCGGTTGTTGACGTCTGTGCTTGGGGTGCGCCGCAGTGTTAACCAGGCAGGTCGATTCAACCCACATCCCGGTCACGCTCCCTCTTTCCCTTGCCCCTAAATAACACCCTTGGTATTACTTTTTGCCCTTTCGCTCCGACCAAGGCCGATGAGACATCGTTTTGCGACTCCATAGTCCGTGGGCATATTTCCCCATTGTCAATCCGAGTTTTTCCTCTCCCACTAATTACAGCCTTCACCCTGCAAGGCGTGAAAATTAAAGAGCAAAGGGAGCACAAATCAACCACCGTCTGACCTCGGTTCTCGATCTTCAACACCGCGTCCTTTTTCTTCGGCCCTGAGCTGGGGAGATTCGAAGTTTCCTCCCTTGGCTGATGGGGACGGCGTTTCGCAACCCTTGACCATCATCACACCTCGATGCGAGACAATCTCTACTTCCCGTCGTGAACGAGTCCAATCGCCCTGTGGGATAGTACATGAAGCCTCTGTGGTTGTTCCCTGCTGCGGATCGTTTCAACACGCCTTTTGGTCCCTTCCATGCCGTTCGTGCGTCGAGAATAAGCAAAAAGTCGATCATCGTGTGAACCACAGCTCAGTTTCGGGCCGCGTATCGAATCTTTGATTAGCTGTCTGTCCTCGCAGCATCAGCTCTCCCGTTTGCATCGCGTGCCCTTTTCCCGTTTTGGCCTTGCAGGATCGAGTTGAATCTTCCGCCATGGCTGATCCTGCGCCCCAAGGTAGGCCTGATGCTATGTCTGTCAGCTCGTTTTTTCAATTGGCTTGCTCTAACGAACGTCTCGCATAGACCCTCCTGCGGCTCCAACTACACCGCAGCCGCCTGCATCATCACCACAACAACCACCATCACCACCACCTCAATCGCCTCCTCAACCACCGCCACAGTCACCCTCTCCACCCCCTCCGCCGCCTCCGCCGCCTTCTTCTCAACCACCGGCAGAGACTCCAACACCGCCTCCCGAACCGTCCACTCCACCACCAGGTCCACCAACAACCAATAACCCAACACCGCCGTCACCTCCACGCCCCACGCCGGAACCTCCCAGCCCATCGCAGCCGCCGCCAACGCAGCAGCCACAACCGCCGGTGTCGGGTACCGTTATTGTGACGATAACGTCTACTGGGCCACCTCTGCCAGATAACCCCAATCGCCCAACCCCGCCGCCAAATAATCCTATTTCTTCGCCATCAAGCGCCGTTTCGACACTACCAACTTCTACGCCGCAAGCCAGTGGCGGAGGGCTATCGGCGGCTGGTACGATTGCGGTTGCAGTCGTGGTTCCGGTGGTGTCTGTTGCCCTGATAATCATAGCTTTGCTGTTTTGGTGGAGAAAACGCAAGGCGAGAAAACTTGCGGAGGAAGAGCGAAAGCAAGAAATCGAGGAATATCGATTCAACCCCAACAATGACCCCACGCTTCCGGCCATCGGCCTTGCCGGCACCTATAGCGATGCTTCGGGCCCCAAAGATGGTAGCTCTGGGTATCGCGGCTGGGGCGCAACGTCAAGCTCGCGCAAGTATTCAGGAACCCCCAACATGCCCATCTCCGATACTGGTAGTAGCCAGCCATTCCGGCCAGTGTCCCCCATAGAGGATGGTGCGTACTACCCTGAGAATGGCCATCGGCCGGACACTGCCGACTCGGAGACCATCAGCGCGCTCCCTCCCGCGGCTGGAAATAGAGGAGATATACATCGCGGGCCATCCAACGCGTCTTCCGGGTATTCTGTCGCCAATCACTCGGATATTTCTGACGATCTGTCGCCTCCTGGTGCACCGCCCGGCACCCAGTACTATGAAGAGAATCCATACTATAGTGATATGATGCCGCAGCAGGGGCCTTATGGAGACAATGCATATAATGGAGCGCAGCCTGTAATCCGTGATGTCCAAGCACGGCGGAATACTCGCATTGAAAGCCCGTCAGTGTTTCCTCAGCAAGGAAATGCGGGTATCTCGCAGAATTTCTAAGCTGCTGTTTAGCGTGGAGCTGCCCCTCTTGTAGTCCCTATGTTCTTGTGTTTCTTTTCTTTTTGGTAAAATCAGTTTTGAATGCATCCCGAGATCGTCGAGGCTTTTGGCCTCTCTTGGTTAATTTGTGATATCCTGAACCTGCACTCTTGGATTTTGCTCTCGCCGTTTATCTCCAACTCTCGAATTGCCTGAAAATCCCCATCCACCGTCTTTTGGTCTGTTTTATTTTCGTATGATGGTTTCTTTAGAACACCCCCGGTTTTTGGTATGAAAGCTCATGAAGTTCCTGACCCAATTCCTTCCCCCTTGGTTTTTTCTTTTTTTGGCTGTTTGATTTGACTAATGCTCGGTACATACTCCGGACGCCATCTATTCTTCTTTTTCGTTTCCTTCAGCCATTCATTTGCCGGTTTCTCTTTCTTTGCAAAGTACTGAGCATCTGTGGTTGATAGTAGCAGGGCAATGTCCGTTTCTAATCAATTGTAATCAATCAATGCATGTGAATCACAACTCATCGCTCTCCAGACCCTGCCGTGGGTCTCTAAGTCCGGCTCTCTGGCGGGGTTCCAGGGCGGAGGGGCTCTCATCTCGTAACTCAGTCATGTCGCATCGGGGTGACGTCCTGCTGCATCGAGCCAAAGCCCAGTAACGAAGTTGTGGTGACCGTGGGGACGAAGCGCTGCAGCGACAAGCCCAATCGGAGCGGGCGAAGCGCGCGGATGGGCGATTGATAGGGTGAGGATCGGTTGCAGGGGGCTTAGCGTCTGCGCGAGAGCTTTTGGTGCTTGCGGATCCCCGCCGTCGTGGGAGCAGAGGAGAAAACTCAGCCAGCAAAAAAAAAAAGAGTTGCTCCCGGCGGAGCTTCGAGTTCTGGTGTTGCTGTCTGTCCCGCGAGCCATGAACAGCCCGCCCATCGGCGCCCATCCAGCACCCAGCACTCCCCCGGCTCAGTGACACCCGCTTCACATGCGCTGTGACGCTGTAGCACATCCCATCGCTGCAAACAGGTCGACGTCGCGGTTGGGCAGTGGTCGTGACGCCGTAAGAGACGGAGATCCGCTTGATAGGCTCGCGGACACGAGAAGCTCCCCCCCCGTGGATGTTTGGTTGTCCCAGAACTTTAGAAAGTCAACGATGCAGACCGATTGCCAACCCTGCAACTGTGTATGGCTCCCCCCTCTCCCAGTGTTTCCCTCTACTTCCCCCGTTTTAAAACGTGCTCGGCTTCCTCGTCTCTCTCTCTCGAGTGACGCGCTGTCCCGCTCGACGGTCTATGTGCTCCTAGTTTATATCCCCTCGTGTCTCGCACACTCCCCCTCCTCTGCCATCCTCGTCTCCCCAAGTATGGCCCATTGCTCTGGATCTATCTCTGACGACTGAATCCTTCTCTCCAATATAGCGTCTCTAGCCACAGATCGTAGGACTTCGGCATTCGGGTCCTTGGCAAGGGAATCTGCTCGATAGCCCCGAGCACCTCATACCCCCCTCCTGCGTCCCTCACCACCGTCGGCTGTGGTCGTGGCGGCACCGGTCGGAAGACTAAGCTTGTCCTCGCTGCCTGACTTCAAGCGCTGGAAACGATATGTGAGCATGCTATCCATCCAGTTTGACTGGCGGAGGGCGCAAGTCGCTTTTCCGCTGCCTGCTCCTTTGTTCACATGGACTGACTTGGGCCGCAATTCGATATCACAGGAAGTTCGGAAAGCATATCCAGCGGCGCCAGCTCGACCTCCCCGAGTATGCAGCTAGCTTTTTCAACTACAAAGCTCTCAAGAAGGTGATCGCAGCATACCCCCTTGAGGAATTTCATCTACGGCGTTGCTGACGAGCTCCGGTTCCTCGTTCAGCTGATCAAACAGTTGAGCGCGACTCCAACCATCCCCGCCCAGGGAGCCAGCGTACCGCCCACATCGGAGATTCTCGACCCGCAGGCTGCTCTTCGTGCAAACAAGGAAGTCTTTTTCTTCCGGCTGGTGCGTTCTAGACTCTACCGCGATTGCGCGCAATCATCGGGTTCGCCGACTGATGGCTCATATATTATTTTATCTATAGGAGAGGGAGATTGAAAAGGTCAATGTGTTTTATCTGCAAAAAGAGGCTGAGGTTCGTTTCCCTTTTGAAAGCATTGGTTCTTCTCTGGCAGCTTCCCTGACGGCCAAAACCTGCATAGTTTTCCTTGCGCCTCAAAACCCTCCTTGATAAGCAAAGAGTCGTCCAGTCGAAACGCTCAGTATCCAATTCAAAGGCACCGGCCAACTTTGTCACTTTATTTGAAGGCTTTCAACAATTCGACGGCGACCTCAATAAACTGCAGGTAAGCAGCAAGCCCTTCCTTCAAAGTGCTCGCCCTTGCTAAAACGATTCCAACTCAGCAATTTGTCGAGGTAAACGAAACTGCAGTTTCGAAGATTCTCAAAAAGGTTTGTTCCGTATTCTTTCAAATGGCTTGGAGCCTCGCTAGGCGAAGGAAATGCTAACTTAAATCCGTCTCAGTGGGATAAAACATCCAAGGTATGCCTCCCCCTGGAGTTAATCTGACCCTTTCAGCTTTGGTGCATTGAACGCTTTAATCCTAATATTTGCTTCTAGTCTCGTACAAAGGAGCTCTATCTTCAGCGTGCAGTTGAGGTGCAACCTTGCTTCAACCGCGATGTTCTTAGAGATCTTTCTGATCGCGCTACAACAGCACGGTTAGAGCTGGAAGCTTGGGCAGAAGGGGAGAATATACAGTTCGATACATCTCAGGCTGTAGAACGGTCAAGTATAGTTCCAGAGGAGGACGATGCTGATCTGCATGCCCTACACACCGCTGCTACCGGTAATCTTACAATTTTGAAAGATTGGGTTTCGAAATTGCAATCCTCCCAGGACGCTGGCTCTCGGGTTACTCGTATTTTCCTGGCCGCCATAAACGACTTTTCAGATGAGGTCCTTACACTGCTCCTCGACACCGGTCTGGTGGATATGCATGCCGAGGACGATATCAATGAAAGAAATTGCCTACATGAGGCAGCCATCTCCGGTCGAGAATTCGTTTTGCGCGCCGCTTTGGAGCGTGGGGTTGATGTCTCACACACTGACGTTTATGGGCGGATACCACTGCATTATGCATGCATGCACGGCCGCGTTGAAATAGTCCGAGCCCTTGTTAATACCGGGCCCCTCACAATTGACTTCATGGATCATGACAATTTCACCCCTTTGATTCACAGCATCATACGAGACCAGCTATCGTGCGTTGAGCAGCTCCTATCGCACAATGCGCGTATCAATCCGTCATCGGAATCGGATCATGTCCCTTTAAATTTGGCTTGTCAGCATGCGTCTTTGCCAATCATACAAATGCTCCTGGAACGAAAGGCCAAACTGCTTCCAGATGCTGAAGGTTTGTATCCTCAGCACTTAGTGGCAAGGACGTGTCGGTCGCCTGAAGTGATTCTCCTCCTGAAAAGCCACGGAGCAGATTTGGATCAGAAAGACAAGCTGTACCAGTGGACACCTTTGTTCCATGCGGCGAGTGAGGGATGCGTTGACTGCTTGAGGACGCTGCTGGACAGCGGTGTGGATGCCGATGCCCTTGATGAAAAGGATCTTCCTGCAATGTACTATGCTGTCTGGGAAGGCCATCTGGAATGTATGATCCTTTTGTGGTCGCGACGAGCAGGCGCTAGGGTGTCCCAACCCCTTGGCCCCCTGAACGGGGCTAACTTCCGTGACGCGAGCTCAATGACGTCTCCCGCTCTCGCAGAACGCCCGGGTCCTGGAGGAATGGAGGCTGATGGCATCCCGGATTTATCGTTACCTCCTCCTATCATTCCTCTCCGTCGTTACGGCCATAATTTCTTAGATAACAAAACCTTCCTCCAAATTTATTTCGAGCCAGCCCCTTCCGAACCTATTGTGTTCTATCAAGCCGGTCGCTACGCTGCTGCGAGACTAACTATATCTTCCAAAATGTCGGACCTGATACCTCGGAATATCATGCTGCCTTTCCAAGAGGATTCTAGGATTGTATCTTTCCAAATCGACCGGCTGGACAATTTCACGCTTGAATTCGAAATATTCCCTACATTCGGATCTAAAGTAATTGCAAAGACAGTTGCTTTGTCAGATATCTTTACGAGCGGCACCCGAAGCTCAGGATCATGCTGCTTACCTCTTTTCGATCCCAGGCTGCGACCCATCGGTGAAATCAAGTTCGACTTCCAGGTCATCAAACCGTACTATGGAGAACCCCTTGAGATCACACATTTTGCGACATACTGGAAAGCCACTGGCGCTCTGGATTCCGACCACAACGGACAAATAACCGGCTCGAGCTTGTCGGGAGATTATGTCCAACTGTTCGTCCAGCTGACGAGGGACGGCGTCCCCGTTTTATATCCTGAATTTACGGTTAATCATCACGGGATCGACATTCCGGTTTGTTCTTTAACATATGATCAGTTCAAGACCGTGAGCCCGAGACGCCACTCTCAAACACATTCGGATGAATTGACCCTACTTCGTTCGTTAGAGGCGATGAATATTGATGATTTGCCCAACGTCCACCGGGTCCTTGCAACGTCGTTTTTGACTTTGCGGGAAGTTCTTGCACATCTTCCAACTAGTATTCATGTCAATATCTGCGCCCTGTACCCATCCGCCGCTGATGAGAAGGAGTTTGGCCTTGGTCCACAAATCAACGTAAATGCGTTTGCGGACTCCATTCTCACCGAAGTCTTCAACCACGCGCGATCGTCCAAGGAAAACAATCCTTACTTTATGCGCTCTATAGTGTTCACCTCGTACAACCCCAACATTTGCATCGCTCTCAATTGGAAGCAACCGAATTGTACGTGTGAAATGGAACGAATCCTCATTAACTATCCCTATTGACTTTATTTAGACCCTGTAGTGCTTTGCAACGACCTTGGTCAGATTCGTGATTTGACAAAAGACGCGACCTCGCAGCCACCAATCCGTTGTAGCGGACGTGCCTCGATGTCGATTAAAGAAGCGGCTAGAATTGCACAGACCAACAATCTCATGGGCCTGATGTGCCGCTCAAGTTTATTGGTAAGCGTCTCCGTATTTTTGGGACATACCTTTCGCGTTGATTAACTATACTATAAAGAACGTTATGCCCGCGCTCGTTGAATCTATCAAAGAACAAGGCCTTGTCCTAGTTGCCGACACGTCCGACGAAGCTGGCGAAAGAACTCGATCCGGAACCCCGATTAACACGGAATGGGCATATCGGATGCCCACAGGCGTCAATGGCGTAATGAGAGGGACTGGCGTCTTGCGATTTAATGATACAGTTGATATGTGATTGTAATTGATTTTTTTTTCTTAACCTTTCTCCCTCCCCATTTTGGATGGCTTTATATCATGACAGAGTGGTCGGCATTGTGTAATTCAGCTAGGGAGCCCAGCATGAACAGCGATTTATTTGGTGAACACGGGCCCGGTCTAGATAGCATCCAGGAGTTGAGCATCATTCTAACTGGTTATGGCGGCTGTTGTTCATAGGTTACTGGTCTACTTCCTTTTTCTTTTTTTTTTTTTTTGATTCTGTTGGTTTTTGGAGGCATATGAAATACTAGTCATGGAGGGCTATCCTATATTTTTGCCCACCACGTTCGAGAAATAAAGATCAGAGCGATAAAGAAAAAGTGAGGCACAGCAGTGACTTGCAGGTTTGAGAACCCATCATGTGATGGCTAGCACCAGATATTGATCACATCTTCAGACGACTTGCGCTTTAGGTACTCTGGGGGACATTGACGGGCTCTGTGATACTCTCCTCACATTTTTCATATTCTTTTTTATGTGAAAAGGATACACAAATGATTCAAACAGCAGGAAACTAATCGTACATGGTAAGAATTAGTGCAAAGTCGCTCATCAAGGAAAAGGTTTCTATGGTGGGTATATTTTTGTGTCTGAAGAGAGGAGAACCGATAAGCTCAATTTCGGCTGGAGATGCAGGTTCAACCACGGTTCCGAATCTGAAATCCTTATAGACAGTATGTCTGCGTTGAACGAGCCATCAAGAACCCGAGATCTATCCTTTTTTAGGCTTCCGTTTTCCAATATTCCAACCCCAACTTCTTAGGGTCTTCACGACTTTAGGGGTGACCGCCGCCGTGAGGGGTACACGAAGAAAAATAAGGCTCTTGTGTACTGCATAAGCTAGGGCAAGTTGAGTCCAGATACCTGAGCGGTCAAGCAAGGTTAGTGTCAACGCTTCCTTCACTCCGCTTGGGGCCCACGTACTCGCTCCCTCTCCGGTCATTTTACCTTCCGTCTTAATTACACCATGGTCGATGGCGGTATTCTCAATATCACTCGCGATAGCACCATCTCCTATATCCAAACTTTCCGTCTGTTCCTTACTAGCACCCCAGATGGGCCCTAAAACACTCTTCACGGACTCGACGATAGTTTGTTCATAGTGGCCAATTCGCTCAACACCTAATAGCCTTACGGCAGCAAAACAAAACGGAAAGTCTAGCGCTGAAAGGAATAGATACACTCCCAATGCGGACCACCCGTATTCCCGAGAAAGTTTGCGCATGCGTTCGGAGAAGGTGAGTGGTTTGGACGGGGAGGAATTCGTAGAATAGGTGCGGCGAGAAGCACGGGGAGGGAATCTAAAAATCGAAGGGGCGGAAAAAGGCGAAGAGACCACCCTTTTGGCTAACGGTCGTGGAAATCGGAAAGTCAGAGGATACTTCGCCCACGCATGGGTGGCCCGGAACTTGGGGCGGAAGATGGTGGGTGGTTTGCTGGCCTGTCTCGATACATCCGACCAGAGAGGGTGGAGCTGCCAGGACTTAGAGGATGCACGGATGAATTGGCCCACGGATGGGGCGGAGAGCCGCGGTGGCATTGGAGCTTCAAGGGCGGGAAGCGTGGTGAACTTGCGTTTTGTTGGTGTCGAGCAGCTCGCTCGTTCGGATATTAATGGAAACACAGCATGCGGAAAGGGACGATTATGTAATCTAAATAGAGCTTGTCGGACTAGGTATTTCTCCGCAGCTAGAATTTCTCCTTGAGCATCATGGGATGAGCGACATTATCGTGAGGAACAGCGAGCAGGAGGATATTCATTAATAGGCATAACATACCGTCACTGCTAGCCATGCCGTCGCGGCTCGCTAGGAAAAATGTCCAACAGCTCTTCGCCCCCGTCCTGATCTTCCAACCCGTCCCCATCCATCACGTCCCGCAACGGTCTTTCGGCATCAAGTCCTTGTACCCTCCCAAAACAAGTCGTTTCAATGTCGGCCCAGACCTCCCTATCCTCGGGGCCTCCCCGGCTGCAGCATTTGAACGTAAAGTCAACGTGCTTCCCCGTCGCACTGGTGCTATTGCCATAAAGAAGGGCATGTCGGCAATTTTTGACCCGGAAACTGGAAAGAGGACTCCGTGCACCATTTTACAATTAGACAGGGTGCAGGTTATTTCGCACAAGACTCGCGAGAAGCATGGGTACTTTGCGGTACAGGTCGGCTTTGGATGGAAAAATCCGAGCAACGTTACGAGGCCAATGTTGGGTCATTTCGCAGCGAATGAGGTTTCTCCCAAACGATACGTGCACGAGTTTCGGGTCAGAGACGAAGTAGGATTGTTGCCAATTGGGCAGATGATAAATGCCGATTGGTTCCAGGAAGGCCAGTTTGTCGATGTGAGGTCGCATAGCCGCGGCATGGGATTTACTGGTGTCATGAAACGATGGGGATTTGGTGGGCAAGATCGATCCCACGGTGTCAGTTTGACGCATCGCTCGTTAGGCTCAACGGGCCCAAGTCAAGGCGGCGGTTCGCGAGTTTATCCAGGCAAAAAGATGCCTGGGAACATGGGTAACGAACAAGTAACAACACAAAACCTAAAGGTCCTCAAGGTTGATCCGGAGAAGGGTCTTGTGGTTGTAAAAGGTATGTAGAAGCTGTCCCTCTTGTTGGATATTTTCTAACCCTATTTACAGGCAGCGTGAGTGGGCCTAAGGGTCGTTGTGTCAAGATACAGGATGCCATCAAGAAGCCATTGCAGCAGATACCCTCTCACTCGGTAGATCCAGTGGAGCCGACAAAATAGTCAATAGTCATGGTCAAATGTTTTGTTCTGTGTTGTACTGTACATTATTTTGATGAGCGGCAATTTTATATTTACATGACGAAGTGTGGCATCGATCTGTCTAGATCACAAACATATCACAATTCCCAGATTCACCAAAACTCCAGCAAAATAATGCAAACGAGAAAAAAGGGCGCTGGACCCCCTGTCGCCTTAATGAGTAAATAACCCGGTAATAAGGTCTTGCTGATGAATATCCTATGCGGAATCTGCGACCTATTGATTGCTTTCTGCCCCGATTGAAGTCTGGAAGGGATCACCTTCAGCTGCATTCAGGAGTTGGATTACTCGTCCGTCTTCCATCTCTAAACTCCAATTTTCGGTGTGGAACTATTCAAGCATACAATGTTATTATATGTTTCTTGTCAATCTGGTAGAATGGCATGGAATATATTAGCAGCATTGGGAACACTCACAAAACCCATCCGGTTTTCTCTAGTGCTTTTAAATCGCATTTTCCCCTTTGATCGTGTTCCTTTAACCCAGAATGAGATATCTATGCGTCCATGAAGCTGATTCATCTCCCCACTAATCCACGGGATCTTCTGTGCAAAATAGATCTCGTCGCCTAGAATTTCTCGGGCTTTGGGTGATGTCCGAAGTGCATACATCGTACTATTGACAACGCTCGATGACGACTTTTGGTAGTTAAAGATGCCTAGCATGGAGGCACCGATAACCACGGCGAATATAGGAATAGTCCGAATCCATCGCCGCTGGGAATGTACTGATGGCAGCTCGCGATCGGCTCTTCTTGACAGGAGCGGGCCTGTATGAGGACCTGGCGCTGCGACCAGTGTGCGGCGGGGGTTCAATATATGGCGACAAATGTTTCCAGTACGAGGGAGCCTGCTAGGCCGGGAAAGCGAAATGCTATTCATGATGACTGTCTCCTTTCTGGCAACCATTCTGCCGTCTCAAACGTTGCTGGGCTCCAGATCCAGCCCGGGGCTTAGTCACCCTTCCGGCGATCACGTGGACAATCTAGATAGCCCTGTAGCTCCAATATCAGCAACTCTACGGAGTAGTTGACCGGATGGCACAAGAGCTGCAGAGTGCGGATACCCATGCTGACAAGCTTCAGATGAATTTATAAATATGTTGCGTCTCCGAAAAGCATTTCGCTACCCGGAATCGGATAATGATGATAGTTCACGTGAAGAACTGGACGAGCAGGGTCTGTCTTGATATCTTGAGGGACCGTCAGTTTGAGTAGCCCAGAAAAATATAACTAACTGGAACCATTATACTCCATAGAGCAGGAAACCCTAATTCAAAGTCTTCGCCGCCAGGATGAAGAGCGGAATGCCCAATACAAGGTAGGCTACGATCTCAACCCTGGTCCCGCTCGTCATAGACTAATACTTTCACAGCTGGTGTTTACAATACTCCCATTGGTTTCATCTATCATCTATTTTCCCCGTTCCCTTGCGCCAAGTAACACCCCTTTGCAGACCGCTTTCTGTGTATTGGGAATCGCGTCCTTGGTAGCAACCGCATATATTATGTGGGCCGTGACACCAACTCGCCCAGACAGAAAGGGAAAGCGTCCGATTAGAGATATTGAGCGCGAGAATGGATTCCTCAAACGATATTTAGCTCAGATCAATTTCCTGGCTTGCGCCTCTCTTTCGGTCGCTGCGTGCTTCGTTGGAGACCCATCTGGCTCCAAAGACTTACTACGGGTACTATATGTTGTGCCAGGCGGTAAGGCTGAACTTTTTGCAACGCTATTTATGGGTTGAAGGCTGATTGATGTCGCTGATATAGCGGTATATCTTGTTGTCTACATTGTGCGGAAAACGATGATGTCTGTCGACATTGGGGAATTGGAACGCCTCCGCTATGAATTCAAAGGGGCTTGACTAAATATTTGGCATAATAGTTTTCATTGCCAGGTACAAGCAAGTCTCCGTCGAGAACTATAAATTTTTCGGGAACAGGCTTCGGAGTATTGCTTATCGATTCCCGTGCACGAACCAGATATCAATTGCCATTTTACGGTGGTTGGAGCCCTTGCTATCGTGACACACTCAAGGTTGCCCTTTATATTTTGATTACGCTTCGAATCGCCATTACGTGCACTGATGGCCAAATCGCTTCAGAGCTCCAGTGCTTTGATCAAACGGCCCATTGACACACATCTGCCTTCACAACTTCAAGAGGGAACTTGGACATCCATCTTCCGCTCTTTGTGTGGCTTCATATGTGTAGCCATTGGCATCCGCGGGTCGCAAAGTAGCCGGTGGATAAGCATGAAAGAATTCGTCGGTGATCCTGGTCCTAGGGGTACGGTCAAAACTGGGGAATGCTCATGGGAAGCAACTTGAAATCTAGTTGATCAGGGTATCTGAAGACCCCCAAAGTTTCACTTTTTGAGAATACATGGAGGGAATCAATCGCACAATTGGTAGAACTGAAGACGGTTTTTCATTAATTCTAATAAAGATTTGGATTACCAAACACGATTATCCTCGCTGTTAACTACACAAAACCTCATGCAATGGCAAAATCGGTTACCTCGTATGAAAATCTGACGAACGGTGCCTTGGGCCACAATTTATGTTAGAACATCCAACCCTCGCTGTCAATATCCTCGGCAGTTCCTCCTGCCCAATGCATAGCCATCAATTTTGCTCGTCGATTCTTTTCGACCTGGGTCATCGGCTGCTGCTTACTCGCTGCGGTTGAACTTGCGGATGAAGATTCAGCAGATGGGGACGATTCACCGAGCTCAAGTGCTTGCTGCGCATAAAATGATGTAGAATATGGACTTGAATTGCTGTTAGTATTCGCTGCAACATTTTGTTCTAAAGCGTCAGGGTTCTCCGCTGTTTTAGAAGGTAGCCGTGAAGCACTGTTGGGATCTTGTGGTTTGGCATTGTGGTTCTTCACACTGCCAGGTTCATCATCAACATCCTCTTGGTCGCTCAGAACTATTGGCTCTTCTGTATACGTAATACGGGCTTTACTGCGTCTTGTTGCGGCCCTGACATTGCCTCGTGGTATGTTATGGAGCGACTGCACGTCAGGCATAAATTCCTCATCTTCTTTTGATTGTAGTAAATCGGATTTCTTGCGGGTTCTTTGCTTCCTGGCTAAATTTGGATCTCTGGCTGATATATCAGATTGAATAATGGCGGTGTTAGGTGAGTCTCGCGTGCCGTCAAGACCAAATGTCAGCGTCGAATGCGTATTAGGGCCTTGATGTTCGGCCGTGGGTTGATTTCCAGCCGCTAACGTACTTCCAGGGGGATTTTGGGAAGTTGTGACGGAAACATCTAAGTCGCAATACTCAAAAGTGATTGCTTCCGTAGCCTCATACCGGTTTTTCATTTCTTCTCTTAAAACGGCGTTGCGCGGTACTATCGTTTTTGTCGGGTGTCCAACATCGATTGAGTCATCAATCAAGGAAGGGTCAATTTGGACACCATTATCATCATATGTTTCAATGTGGCCTTGGTTATCCTCAGGGATTACGGAAGGATCAATAGTAGCTTGGCCGGTACCAGAAACCATCAACGCATCCGCATCATCATGGTCAAGGTCACGATCATCCAATACCGGATCATGCTGCTTGGCCTGTTCTGCTTCCTCCAGTCTTCGTTTCAGTCTCCGAGTTTCGGTGAGATTATCTCCGTGGTCTCCAGCTTTTATAATCCAAGTAATGTTTGAGTGGCTAAAGTCCACAAGGCTTTCCACGCTCCGAGGATCGGCGACCTTTCTGGTATCGTGACCAAGTAATGTTCCTGTCGGTTCGTAGGGTTTTATGGTGGGATCCCGACGACATGCTCCACAAGAACAGATCTTTCGACACTTCGGACAATTCCAACTCAATTCCTCCATAATCGTACATGGGGATATATCAAACGCCCTGTAAAGACTACCGTAACAGTAGTTTAATCCGCAGGAACCGCACATGGCGAGTTTCCATTTGGGTTCTGGGACTTTGCATATATGACAGCTCCCATGCTGTTTGCGAAACTTTTCAGATCTGCGAATTTTGCGGCGTTTCCTTACTTGGCCATCATCATTCACTTCAATTATCTCATCATTTTCTTCTCGCGCTGCTGGTTTCGAAATATCGTACCACGGCCTTCGTTTGAGTTCTTCCTGGCAAATCTCAGCAAGTGACTTTTTGCCCGACCGCTCTCTTTCAACAAGAAGAGGTTCTAGCAATTCGCTAGTATTAGAAGTTTTGCCCCGAAATTGTAATATTTGGTTTCGCCAAATTTCATGCTTTTTGGTCAAATCCTTCCATTTAAATTGTTCAACCCATCTGAGCTTTGATATACACGCGCAGCTTCTGCCAATGGAGTAACATTCCATACATATGTCATAGTTATCATCGTCTCCGTCCGCAAGTTTTCCAACACATGAAGGGCATGTGAGGAACCGGTTGAAAATGTTACATCTGCAATATGAACAGATAACATTGCTACTAAATGGGATGTATTCCACATTTTTTGGCACGGGTAGCTCCCTAGAGAAACTTTCTGAGAGAAGAATCCGGGTATAGAGGGCAAAGAGACGCCGGAAATCCCTTTGTAAGTGTCGAATCCTAGAATTGGCATGCGGATCGGCCCCTCGCAAAGTGTCGGAATACTGCATCAAAGTGTAGTATATGATGGCTTTGTTCTTGTATTGTTCGTCGCGACAAACCATCCTGGCTTTCGGCAAGGCCTCATTGATTGCCAGTTCCAAAGTTTCCACAGTAGTCCTGTTCCAAGCCACCTTCATAGTCCTGGTACCTCTATTCCACACCTGATGGGGTGCCAGCGGAGGAATGAGGATGAAGTCACCGGCTTTCTGTTCGACCACATAAGTTTTGAACGGAGCAAGTTTCCAGGCATTAATCTGTGCAAAGTGATCTTCAATCTCGATATCATGACCTAGTCGGGAGCGCCAATACTCTGAGACTAAATGTCGGTCTTTTGTCTCAGTCATGAACCAAATAGAAGAGCCTGCTTTCGTTAATTTCCCATCCTCCACAGACCCTGTAGATGTTTCCACCATGATATTATGGCCTAGAGTGGCGCACATCTCTCGGTGAGATGGCGTATAGGTGCCTTCATGCCCAATATAGCACATCAAGTTTTCTGCTCTCATTTCTTGAGGGAGGCTGCTCATTAGATCCCCAGACCTAAGTGAGCCAGTCGGCATGCTGGGAACAGATTCATTGAGATAACACAAGAATGGTGGGAGCAGGTTCTTGAGCTTTTCGTACCAAACGGGAGGGCAGTCAATATCTTTGAGATAAATCCGTTGTCTATCCGCATCCTTGTAATTTGTTACAGTCCATTGATCCGTCAGTAGGGCCATGTTTTTCAGATAGTGTTGGATAGTCAGCGGGAGATTGGATTTGGTGGTGAGATTTCTCGCATTTTCGGCTAGTTTCATCATGGATTAGCAACGATTGATAAGAATGCGTAGTCCACTATCATTTACTTTTTTTTCCATAGTTGTCATTTAACCACTGTGTGGAAAATATCCATTTCTCCAGTCTATCCTGATAGCCTTCGACGACGAGGGGCTTCCCGCCCATAATGACATGTAGCTGTACCAATCTCTCAAAATCCTCAATACCTTGCTCGTCGATCGCGTCGCAATGGATTCTAACGACATATTCGAAATTTGGCGTAGACTCGACGAGGGCCGCAAGATCAAGTCCGGGCGAGATAGGTTCGAAGGATGCGCGAGGCTGTCTCCGTGGAGGCATGGTAACTAAATTGAACGAAGTCGGCGTCGCATTAGCAGCCCTCGGCGCCGTTTCAGCCGTCAGAACGAGAAATCGATGCTTGGTAGCTTCACAGCGGAATGCGCGATTGCAATGTTGAGGGAAGCTCGATGACCATCCAGGTACCTAAACGCGCTAGCTATCACGTGACTTGTAGCTTTGCGAGCGCGTCGAACCTTGCTAGTTAGCCGTTTACGAAGGCGCCGCGTTCCGCCTCTGCGTTAAAAATAATTAATCACATCAATTCTTCGCATTTGGACATACAATCTCCCTGAACTTGTTGCCTGTATTTGAGAATGCCTCTTTGATATAGCCGAAGTCTGGAACAAGTGCATTAGCGCCTGAGAGTGATTTCCTCGATCCGCTATTAATTGACCAGCAGCTCATGACCACAGGGCGGAGCCTCTCGACTTTCCACACCCAAAAGGAGAAATGCGGTTGCTAATCACGGGGGCAGCCTCTGCCAGGCCCGTCCTCCACCCTAGTTGGGACTTTTGCGCTAAACATGGAATTCGGAGGAGCCTTGCACATTTTTCGTCAGCGCCTGGTTTCCGGGTGGACGATTTCAGCAGAAGACGAAACCGCGATATGCGCGCTAGAAACCTGCCATTATTCTATAGCCGGGAAGCGACCTACCGTACAATTTCCGGTCAAAAAACGACGTCCACAGACACCGTGAGCCCGGTTTCTGAGCCACCTACCATCAAATATGCTCCTCCAACTCGCGGACTAATCGCCTCTCTTCCCGCTGCGTGGGTACCTTATGCGGAATTGATACGGCTTGACAAGCCCACTGGCACATATTACCTTTTCTTCCCGTGCATTTTCTCGACACTTCTTGCGGCACCACTTACCGTTCCGATGGCGACCCCAATGGAAGTGGCTTGGTACTCAGGTTTATTTTTCCTTGGAGCCTTGATTATGAGGGGAGCCGGATGTGCTATCAATGATTTATGGGACCGCAATCTCGATCCGCATGTGGAAAGAACAAAATTCCGGCCAATTGCGAGAAAAGCAATCACACCTCAGAACGCGATCATATTTACAGGGACCCAGTTACTCGCCGGTTTAGGAGTTTTACTGCAATTCCCGGCGCATTGCTTTTGGTATGCAACTCCTAGTCTACTCCTAGTTGCAACGTATCCGCTTGCCAAACGAGTCACGAACTATCCCCAGGCGGTACTAGGACTGACATTCTCCTGGGGGGCAATAATGGGGTTTCCCACTCTGGGCGTTGACCTTCTAACAAATGAGAGTGCCGCCTTAGCCGCTGCTGCTCTTTATTCGAGTTGTATTGCCTGGACCATATTGTATGACACAATATATGCGCACATGGATGTAAAGGACGACGCCGCTGCTGGTATTAAATCAATTGCACTAAAACACCAAGCAGATACAAAGACGATCCTTACAGGTTTGGCAGCTGCCCAGGTTGGATTGCTAGCCGCTGCTGGCATCGCCGCTGGTTCGGGTCCTGTTTTCTTTGTGGGGAGTTGCGGGAGCGCAATTCTAACTCTGGGGACCATGATCTGGCGCGTCAAATTGGATGACGTTAAGCATTGCTGGTGGTGGTTTAGATATGGCTGTTGGTTCACAGGAGCCGGTATAGCCACGGGCTTACTCGGAGAATATCTGGCCCAAAGGTTCGGCATTTATAAAACGGCCGACGACAGTTCGGCAGATAATATTACGAAAAAATCGAGAGAATAGTTGGAGATCGAAGCACCTCGCTCAAAGGTCCAGGCCCACATCCTCTTCAATGAATTTCACTATTACTCTCCAGTCTCGCATTGCACCGTCCCCAGTATCACCACAGGCAAGCTCTTTTTCCATGGGCTTCAAAACTGTAATCCAGCTTCTCCCTTCCATAGAGTCGGCGTTCCAACCCCGCTCCAATGTCTTGATATGTTTTTCGGTAAGTGGATGTTTCCACATCATCGTATTCATACTTGGGGCGACGTATATCGTCCGGGCGGGTTCAACTGTTCCGTGTACATCCCAAGCCCTGACCACTGATAGCAATAAATTGTCGGCCAGCCCCAGGGCCATTTTAGCCAAAGTATTGGCCGATAATGGAGCAATAAGCATGAAATGGGCCCATCTTCTCAATTCAATGTGGAGGATGCTTGACCCTCTCACCCATGGAACCTTCCACTCGTCCAGATCTTGGTATATTCCATCGACATTTGGAAGACGTCGTATCTGTTCTAAAGACGGTTGTTCGGCGCTCTGCCCGGCAAGGAACTTGCTGGATGAGGCTGTTAGGACAATGCGAAGGGAGACATTGGCATGTCGGCCCAAGGCCTCGGCGATGTTGGGCAACTTGATTGTAGCAACCGAACCGCTCGCCGCAAGAAGGATGTGAAGCTTTCCGTCGTTTATATACTCGGCAGCTGAGAATAAGGGCGCAAGTTCTGGGGCGACACCATCCGCCATATTGCGTTTTGAAGAAATAGAAGTGGATGGACTATTGATTTTAAGATATGTACATACAGTACATGCGGATCAATTGTCAGGTTTGGCCTGATTGTCCCGCTCAAACCACCTCCTCCGTCGCTCCACCAAGTCGTTTTCTGAAACTGGTTGCATTTTAGGCCTTTTGATCGCTCCGGTGGTCGTTTGACTTTCAGCCGCCATGAGTCAAATCAGCCCAGGGCTATTATTAATTGGTTCCCTATTAGTAGCTTAACTAACCGCCGAACGGACTGGGATGATGGGCGTCTAGGACATACATATCACAGGAGGTTCTTCAGCAATTTCATCATCAGCTCAGACGAAACAAACAGCTTTTCATTCAAGTATAGCGAGAAAAGGAAGCTGGCCTCCTTAGGGCTAATTTCAAAAATGGCCTTTTTTCCAGTGAGTTGTCCAATTGTCCCATCGTACAACAATTTTCTCACTAAAACTACCACCTGCAGTTACTTCGACCCGCAGTTCGGTCAACTGCCCACGCCCTCAGACCTATCTTTGCTTCACAATTTCAGAGTCGATTATTATCTACCGAAATAAGAACTGCAATAGACAAAGCTGTTGCATCAGCACCTGTTGTTCTCTTCATGAAAGGGACTCCAGAGACGCCACAATGTGGATTTTCTAGAGCCAGCATCCAAATACTGGGACTACAAGGGGTAGATCCTACTAAATTCACGGCATTCAATGTACTTGAGGACCCCGAGCTAAGGCAAGGTATGAATTTGCATGGTTCTATCTCAGTTTGGGTAGGGACAACGTTCAAGTCGGGCAGCGAGCTAATCGTTCGGTTTTGAGTAGGGATTAAGGAATATTCGGACTGGCCAACGATCCCACAACTCTACCTTGACAAAGAATTCATTGGCGGATGCGATATTCTTATGTCCATGCACCAAAATGGAGAGCTAGCGAAGTTATTGGAGACTAAGGGAGTCTTGGTTTCTCGAGAGTCAGAAACTGAGAAATAGGACAGATTGCGTTTTCCTGAATATAAAGGCCGTACGGAACTTCGTGTAGTTATGGCGTTTTCCCCTTGACGTATTCAAACCGCCTCGGTTTTCTCCTATGTTGTGTTCAGTACTTGCGGTTGTACGATGCTGCATGCATATCCGACTGCATGACAAAAATTCAAAGGCATATTTTGCTCTTTCTTTTTGAGAAGTTAGTCACTTTGCTTGCCCACTGTTAAGCAACAGTTATTTGAATAAGAGCTCACGGCTGCCAGTCCCGTGATTCATCCGGGATGGTAAATTTCCTGTATTCTATTTCGTGACACGACTTCATGTCATCTCAATTGCCCTCTGACTCCATAGGCATCTATGGGATATATTGGTGACCACGTTGCTTGATCATGGCGAAGCATTCCGCCTCTCGACGTACGAGAAAGGGTCCTATATCGCTATCCGGCATATTTGGACGAAAGCGAAATCCACAAGCCTCTACGTTAAACAATCAGGATTCTACCCAGCGACTGACGGGAAAAACACAACCCTCAAAATGGCTCTACAAAGAGAAAGCCGTGGCCCCGAAATCTCTGAATGAGGGACGGCCAAAGCTGCCGACCGGTCAGGACACTGTGCATCGACTTTCCCGTAGGTTCCGGAATGTGCTTGGATTTTTTTTGAACTTTCTGCTAATATTTTATCAAGGGTCACTCGAACGTACGAAGGACGTGATTGTTGCAGACGCTTTAGATTCGCTTTATAAAGCTGAACAGCTTCTGACTAGCCAGCTTCGCGACGCAAACACGGCAGCTTTGGAAAAGATTGAGTATTTGGGGCTCAGTTCAGGTGCCTTGGCCCCATTTCAATTATCAGGTCTGAAATCTCGATCGAAGCCAATGCGCAAACGGTCATTACTTCGAGAAAATTCTGCGAAGCGATTGGGCGAACTCCGCCAGAAATTAAAAACTATAGAACACGCTCTCGAGCAACATTGGCAAGAATGGACCATGGTTCAAAATAAAATCCTTTGCCTTGGTGCGGAGATCTTAGGCCCTCGCTCCCAAGACCTTGTAAGCGACGATATGCAGAAACTACTCAAAAGAAAATATACCCAAGCCATCGAAAACCATGAGAAACGGGCAGCTGGGGAAAAAGAGTTGCAAGAAGTAATGGCTCAACAACGCGAAAGCATTACGTCAATATCGAAAGACACTTTGCAGGAACTGGCAACTCAGGAGAAGGTAAGGCAGTTTGTGATGGCCTAGCTACTCCAGTACTTCACTAACACTATGCAACGTTTCTTTGAGCATAGAAATTGAAGAATGATACTCGCCAACAGAACGAGGAAGTTTGCGAGCTCGCCAGGAAAATCATGGCCGGTATCTAAATTGATATACCCATGTGTACTCGCGGTTGTACGGACTGCCTGCAACGAAGAGGCCGCTAATGGCAGGCTAATATATAAGGAATAAAATAACGTCTGGGCTCTAGATCTGTGCAAAATAAGGCTTATGTTGCGGGATAGTGCGGTGAGCATGTATGATTATTATCTTATCTATTTATTAACTACAGTGCATCTTCCCCATTCCGATTTATAGGACAGTGCTTGCAACCCAAGTCGTCCGATAAGTAGGCCGATCCAAACAGTTCTAACAATTAGGTTGGAAACCAGTTCCAATTTTAAGGTTCAGTACAGTCCTTTGGGTCAACAATCATCTACAATCAAAGGCTTTATAGAACTCTAGTTGGGGGTTTTTAGCAGCTCCTGGTGCTCTTTTTGCTTGAGCTCTTGCTCACCAATCCCCTTTAGAAGCTTTGCTCGCTGTCGTGCTTCAAAAGCTTCTCGGCTTTTTAAAATCCTTTGAACAATTTCGCCAGCATTTACGTGCTGGAAAGAATGGGTGCCAACTCTTTGAAAATACCCATCATTGGGAGTCGATGTAGGGGTCATAGGTTAACGGATAAAAGTCGTAGGTGCATGGTAGACAGCACTGGGCATACCAAGTGGTAGCAATCGAAGGAACGGCTCGGACGGGGTAAAGGGTGCCCCGAATACGATAGCATTAATGTACTGAAAGGATGGATGTTAGCCGAGGGGGATTATAGAACAAGCTCTTCAACGGGGGTACCCACCCGACACTGAAGGACGCAAAGTCCGCGCTCAAAGATGTTCATGATAGGATAATTCAGGCCTTTCCACCGGTTTATGACTTCATCATCATGAACGCCCGCCACAATGTAAGCAGGCTCATAATCTTCACCATATTGTTCTAACCTCGCGGCCACTTGCTCGGGAGAGAACCATCCACGGCGGTCACCTTCTTCTTTTTCCATTTGATGAACCTGGCGTAGAAACTCGATGTGTCCAGAGGAGAATAGGTCGAACCCTCCATCAACATAAACGACCCGTTGTCCTGGCTTCGGGGTCTTCCCAGGCACCAAATGATCAAAAGTTCCTTCTGGGTGTAAGGTATGATCATCGGTAGCCGGCTGTGAACTTGTCCAAGTCCAAACATCTGGGCCGGGCTTAAGACCTGTTTCGTCGGTAGCGTAATCCTTGATCCTTTGAAGCGATTGTTGCGCGAGCTCCTTGAGTTCTTCCGGAGTCCCAGCACCTTCTTGGCCCGTTAAAAACGCTGGTAACGACTTTATGAAATGGCCACGAGTACAAAGAAGCATACGGCCAACCAGATCCGTTGTTGAGATTCCGGGAGTTCGCTTTACCACCAGGAAACGCCCTGCAGCCTTCACGAACCTATAGCAATCGTTCCCGTCGCTGTCGGAAGTGATATCATCCCCGTGAACAACGTAGTAGCAGCCGTAGTGAGATATCCAAGGCAATGAAGTAACATATGGAGCGTGGGGAATCGACTTCGATGCCCAACGACACGCATCTACCGCAGCCACCCTTTAGCCATGGCATGTCAGCATTGGGTTCCATCCTAAGGGGGAAGACTGAACGGACCGTTCCGCAAGCGTCATAACAGTCGGGCCCTTGTTTTCTAGAATCTCCTCGTCTGAATGAACCCCGACGAGGAGTTCTCGTCCCAATCTCCGAGCTTGCAACATTGCTCCTGCGTGGCCTACCCGGATGAGATTAGACCGATGGCAATTACATGCGCGAGATCACAACTGACCATGGTGACTGAAATCAAAACAGCCATCGACCCAAATGCGCTCTTTGTCAATAGGAACGTCTTCCTGCGGGTCAACGGGCCATGTTCCAGGCCTAGGAATCGCATCCCGTGCGTTTGTTGTGAGCCATGCGATCTTAGTAGACGACTTTTGATTCGAGGATCACAGAAGTTGAATCTAAATGCGAGAGATTTATCAAAACATCGCCTGCAAATGAGTGCTGATTGAGTAACATCAATGCCGTTATTTAATCAGGCGGTTCAAGAGTGAGTGGCAGCACTCGAGGTTGGATCGGATTTACAATTTCTTGCTTTTGTACCAAGTAAGTTAGTTAAGAGGTGAATGCTGAACTCAAGGATACTGGGACTCCACGGGTCCCCGCTTAACTAGCGGCTTATATAGGGGGTTCGCGCGTAATTATGACTGACGACTATTACTCCAAACAGAGTAGAATTAGCTGGATTGCCCTCAGGAGCTTCATTAGCGCATAAACATACCAATATTGCAAGAGATGTTATCCTGTCGCGAGGAGGAAGGCTTTGGCGGAAAAGCCTTGGGTACGGATTCGGGGTACTCCGTCCTGCGGAGGATAACTATTCAGTAACTAGTTACCAAAAATACACCCCCTGAAATTAGTTAACAGCACCAGAATGCGCTAGTTAACTAACTAGTTAGTTAGCTAATCAAATTCCGCTCTGGATATCTCTTCGCGTCCCAAGAAACTGTCTCCTTGTGATGAGGAACCTCAGCCACTACAACCAAGCTATGGCCCTGTCTCCGGCCCTTTTCCACGTGGTATTTTCCTGAGCATGAAAAGAGGAGAGGGTTACGAACTGCGTACAGACACTGGTATGCCCTGTCGCTCTTGGATCCGTTGATTACACACTGAACATCCTCTCAGTAGCCCTGCCACAGGCCTTGGAAGAGCCACATCGTCAATGTGGTCATGGTTTTAGGGTGTAGACTGCCGCGTTCACTCCCCTCCAATTCGAACAAAGAATATGTACACTGCGCCCTCTGCGTTCGAAACGGTTAATGTTATGGCCAGCGCCCCGCCGCAAACTCCTGCTACGGCGTACAGTGTCCAGAATGCAAGTGCGATATATCTACACATCCATGAGATCTCAAGCAAGCGGATACAGACTCTAGATTATTTACGAAAGGCGTTAGTATCTGGTGTCCTGCTTCACGAGAGCTTGAAAGCCAAACTAATAACAAGACTGGAAAATCTAGGCATGAAGGCCGAGTCTATTGGTTCAATACTATCCATTTCACCAGGGCTGATATTTCCCGTTTACCGTATTTTGAGAGGCGGAAATTGGCCCGTCGAGCTATCAACTATCTTTTGCTAGGACTATCCGTCCCGCCGATTTTGGACATCAGCTCGAACCCGTTTGAGTATCTCCGCTCGTTAAATGCACTCCTCATCGAGTTCGAAGCGTTCCAGCAAATACACCCTGCCGATGGCGGTTCTGCGTCATCGCTTGCACGAGCACGTATCCCACAAATGTTTAAACGATCAACGCATACTGGGCCCAAAGCTAGAAGAGCGAGTTCAGCAACTGAAATAGGGCTACCCATGCAGTCAAGCGATCAATCCGATCTGAAGGCAATGACAGGAAATATCGCATCTACCACGAATGCTGCCTCTACGGTGGCGTCCTTTCCATCCAATTCTGAGGCCTCTGATCTTCTTCCCGGAGAAGAATATACCTACCTGTTGACACCCACGTTACCTTTCGACCCCGATTTTTTCGAAACATTTGCTACCCTGTGTGATGTGCTCATTGACTGTTATAATAGATTGATGACTTTAGTGCCGAGTCCGTCGGTCTGTACAGGCGCACTGGGCGAAATGTTCGCAAAGGCAGATTCACGATTGCGGAAGGTGATAATGTCGAGTGTTGTGCGCGAATTTGAAGATGCCAGTCGAAGTAGCGTAAAGAGCGAGGTTGCAGGAGTAGGCCGAGTGGTCTTAGGAGGGCTTTTAGGTTAAATGGTGATTCTTGCAAACCGTGTTCGATCAAAGGCCAATGAGGGTGAAGTTAAAGATCAGAGCAAAAGGTAGATATGGACAGTTACGTTAATGCCCATTTCGGGTTATAAAGGGTGGTCTAAAGTAATGATACAATATATACAAGCAATGCTATGCTGTCATGCCACGTTTAATGCCCGTGGCGCCAGAAACGCCTTCTTATCAATCAATTACGCCATTCCCGGACGGCATGGCTCTCGAAAATCGCTGGTCCAGTGCTTTTTCGAAGCAAATTGACGAGGTGTAATGTTCCCAAACTCCAAACTTTTCTGCTGCAAGAGAAGCAATACGTTGAAGGTAAACAGTCGCTGAGGGTTGGTGCTAAAGAGATGGCGTTTGCAACGTTCTGTTATTGGTGGGCTTTTTGCAAAGCTTCCATCTCTTTCTGTTCCCTAAAGACTCGTCGACTCATTTCAAGGACGGCTTCAAACCCTTCTCGTCCCTTAGTTGCATTTTGGCTGAACGTTTCCACGCTAAGCTCTTCAATTTTATTCTTTACTTTTTGCCATCCACCGCAAAGGGCGGTTATCTGTGCATCCTGTCTAAACTCTGTTCTCGATGCTGGCTTTGACTGCGATGGCTGGTAGATCACGGTTTCTCTAACGCTCAGGACATTTGACCATGTTAAATTTGTGGAACACATGGTGACTCTCTTGGAAGCTGGGTCGACATAAGAGACTTCGTAGACATGCGATGTCGAAGAGCCTCCAAAGAGGTTGAGGATCCATTGTGGAGCAGACTGATTGCATGTAATTAAACGCTCCGTCCGTAACTATTGGGGAAACAAATCAGCATTGCTTCAGGAAACACTTTGAAACCAAGTCATATCAAAACTTACTATTCCGTTTGGATTTAATGTCTGTGACAGAACATCGACAGCAACGACATGTGTGGATTTACTGTTCCATGGGCAATATTTACGCCAATTGGCGGTCGATACCTCTTCCCAGGAGTAGTCAAAGATGCATTCCGACGCGAAAACTTTCATGCCGACGGGGGGAGCGAGTGGCACGCGAAAAAGTCGAAGGCGCTGAGGGTTCTCAAGTAACGGTTCTTGCCAGTACCAGGCAAAAGAGATAAAGGCGGGGGGGAAACGGGGCGAAAAAGATATCTATCGATGTTGGTAACAACCTGGTCGATCCAGCAAGGCCTCTGTGGAGGAGAAAGAGAATCCCGAATTCATCGCAGCGAAATCGGGAGCCCAAGGAAAAAACTTTGGTTCGCCCTGGAGTTAAGTTACGCTGACTCAGCCCGTACACGTCCGGTACACGAGACCAGAGCCGGAAAGCCGCGGCTGCCAAGCGACCTTCGTATCACTGTGACGAAGGATTAGTAAGCCATGAGTCGCATCAGATAAGATATCGATCTCGGATTAACTTGCCCTTTTGGGACCAGAGCCTAGAAGCTGGAGCTCTCCTGGTCTAATATTCAACCTCGTTTTATATTGTTCTGCTTTGGATCCGTTTCCTTGACGCATTCAAGTTGCCGCACTGTACTCCTCTTTTCTTATGACCATCGTTCTGGAACGTAAGGGTTCATTGTCTCATTGCTCCTGTATCCAATTATCCGAGTTTCGTGTTCTTCTATCGCTGGGTCAGATGTTGAAGGTCAACTGCATGTTTCTGCTCTGATAGGCTCTCAATTTTCTTGCTCCTTTGTCAATGAAAGTTGGAGAGAAGAATAAGCCAGGATTCGATGTGCTATGGCACCCCTTGATTCATTTGATACCCCTTCTGCATCTTCAGCAGATGATTTACAACAAGACCCTGCAGTGAAGTCACAAATACCCTCGATCGTCAGCCAAGCTGCCAATTTCTTGTCTCGCTGTAACTTAGGCTCCCTTGTCGCCATTGCTTTTGGCTTACTTGCCTGCCTGTACCTTATTTTTGGGCGGTTGGCCCTACTTTTGTTCGGCGTCGTCGGCGGTGTGTTGTTACATGCATGGTGGGATGAGATTGGTAGCGCCTCTGGCAGGTGCGCAACTGATGAAACGAAAAGACGACGTCGTGAGCTTGGCGTTGAAGTCGCCGCAAGGTTGATGCGATTGGAAGGGGCCTCAACACAGTTGATGCCGGCTAATTGTCAGTCCAAAGCACGGACTGATGAGTTCGATCTTTCCAAATTGCACCCCGCTCTCGCTGCTGCTTTGAAAGCACTCATAGATGCTGTGGTTGAAGATTATGTAAGGTAAGTCGGCCGTCTGCATTGAATTATACGTTGTCTCTAACAAGACCATAGATGGTGGTATGAGCCAATTTTACCTGCGGAGCAAACTTTTCCGTATGCTTGTCGCAATTATCTTGTTCGCTTTGTCTGCTCGGTCTCCGCTCATCTTGGGCACAAAAGGCCCGCCGAAATTTTCCTACAGTTTGTCATGAATTCTTCTTCGGTCATGATTGTGTTGCTCAGCGAGCTATCATTGGCTCTTGGTCCTACTAACACCGGGAAAACATCGGTGGACGAAGCTATAAATGCATACTTGGTGGAAAGCCCGGAGAGTGGCCTGGCGAATATTCTGTCAGTGGAACAACAGCAGGAAAAGTTAAGCATTATGGCCAATGAACTATTAAAATTATTCCTTGATCCCAGTGGCTACAACTGCGAGCCGGTCAGGATTTTTCTCCGTGAAATACTCACCGGCGTTATCTTCACATCCATCATTGAAACATGCTCGGCACCAGAATACATCAATGGTTGGATTATTCACCTTTTCGAAACTGGGGAGCCCGAGTTTATAAATGCGATAGACGCTGGATTGGATGCTTTAGACCAAGTCAGCAACAGCAATCTGGAACCTGTTCCTCTTGACCTCCCCTCAACTATCACTAACACACGTTCAACGAAGGGCCAGGAACCACCTGCCGACCAACCACGCCTCAACGCAATCAAAACCCATCTGGCCGAATCCGAACCAACGTTACTTCTGAATGCAAACCGAGATACAAGGGCAGGCTCCCCGAACCGCAACCTTGATGGAGCGGCTAATTCCGACCAAGGGTTATCTCAACCTAGACGTTACCATGATGATATCGACCCTTTTGAATTTCCAGTGCTACCTCTTACATTGAAAAATGGTGATAGTATGGATTCCAATGCCCCTGAGATACAAGATTATGCAGTTGCAGAAGATGAGTCTGCGCCTCCGGCTTTTACCGACGGCTCCGATCTTTCAAAAGAGCCGAATGTGGCCTCTGCTCGCTCTCATGACGACCTACCAGAAGCAGTGACCTCAGTCGCTATGAAATTTCATAACGCATCGGTATCTATTCTTGACGACTATTCTACGAACGATGGTATTCTGCGTTCCAAGCCCACTGTCGAATATCTTTTACAGATCGAGTTAAAGAGATCGCATGTTACCGGCTGGATGATTGCAAGGAAATATACCGACTTCGAATCGCTTCATGAAACCTTACGTCGTATATCCGTGGTCTCTGGTATCACCGAATTCTCACTGCAACATTCCGATCTACCGAGTTGGAAGAATCGAAATGGGCAAGACTTGCGCGAACGCCTTGAGAGATATTTACAAAGCGCATTACGTCATGAATGTCTTGCCGACTGCGAAGGGATGAAAAGATTCCTCGAAAAAGACTTAGGAACATGGTCTCAATCCATGCCTGGCCCCATTCGGATGGGGTTTCCGTTCCGGAACCCCACGGTGCTAGAAAACATGGGCAAAGGGATGTTGGGTGTCATAAGTACTGCCCCTAAGGGTGTTGCAGAAGGGGGTAAAGCAATGTTTGGCGGGATGTCTGGCTTGTTTAACTCGGCGACAACCGGATCGAAGAAGGCTAGCACTGAAAACCCCGTATTTCGAAGTCATTCGGGACCCAGGAAGGCGACAGCTGAACCTCCCGCCTCTGCGGTAACGCAAACCCAACAATTACCCCTCGAGCGGGCTCAGCTATATGACCATGGATACAAGCCGGTACCGCCATCTGTAGAGTCTGCTCAAGTACCTACTACAATCCCGTCGGCTTCGATGATACCAATAGATCCTAACACTCTTCAAGAGCGGGGTTGCGAATCTGTCTTAGATCACGTCCAATACCCTCAGGACTCGTCACCACAATCCACCCCCCAAGGTAATCTAATAGAGAGGAAAATACAGCGTCCGACTGACAATGGGAGCCCACACTTAGATATCCGTGATGATAAGCTTTCCGTTTCTAATTCCAGCGAACAATATCCTCAGTTTAACGATGGACCTCAGGACCCACAATTTACAAACCTGGCATCAAATTCACAAACTGCTCTTTCAGAGGACGAGACCATCATGGTTGTTGAATTGCTGTTTGCAGTTGTCAATGAGATATACGGCTTATCCTCAGCCTGGAAATTCCGAAAACGCCTGTTGCATGCTGCCAAAACGTTCCTACTACGACCTGGCAATCCAAATCTTGACGCTATCCGTCTGCTTATCCAAGATTCAGTCATACAAAAGCACACTACACACAAAGCCCTAGCAGATTATATCAACATGTTGCGCGAATCTCGTACCAGCGCGCAAAACCAGGACGAACCCAGCGCATTAAATGATCGGAAACAATTACGGGACAAAGCTCGAAGCTTATTTATTGCAAACGGTATGCCTCGAGCACTAGTGAGCTGTATGGGTACCACTGCGACGGGTGAGGCCCTCGGACGAATTTTTGACTGTCTTCAAGTAGAGTCTGTTGCAAAAGGGTTCGTCTGCGCTCTCTTGTTGCAAGCACTGAAGGTAATTGTACAATGATAGGCTCTAGATAGAAAGCAATCAGACTATCAATCTAAGTCTTTTTCCATATGTATGTATGTATGTATGTACATTATTCCCAAATTATCGGGATTTATCATACATACATCGCAGCAATTGATTAGTATGTAGATAAACTGTACAAGCTATCTCTTGTGAATTCTCGCCATATCTATACTTGTAGAGTCTACAGATGATCCAATAAAAGTAAATCCATGCTCTTTGGAATAACTTTATCAAACCAAAAGACCTCCGTGTGTACATCCTGAAAAGACCTCTTAAAACATTTCCACCGGTGTAGTCAACCGGATGGTCCATCTATTATTCTACATTGATTTTTTCTTTCCTGCCCCAAAACCCATTTTCTATTAGGTCCGATTGACATGATAGGTATTGTCACGACGACCAACTCGGACTGTTGCATTCGGGAAGGTCAAACACCTTTATCGCCAAAACCGACAAGAAGATCTCGCGTCAATTCAAAGCTAAGCCAGCTGCTGGCCATGCTCGGTGCCACTTTCAGTAGGTTGGGTACAATTCCCTTATATAGTCCTCGAACCCCCTCTTGGGCTACGATAACCTTGACCGCACCCCAAATCGATGTGTATTGATAACCTAGGCCCGACATGGTATTGATCTGAAATCGCCGGCGAAGAACATCACTGAATCACAAGGTAAGCGATCAAAGCCTAGTACATAATCAAGATTTGCACCCAACTCACAATGGGTATGTGCATGTTTGCGCTACTGCACCGGAAATAGCTCCGGCTAACAACTTCCGATATGGGCTCGGATTGAGGTCTCCTTCGGGCGTTAGATATTTCCGGACCGATTCATAGGTCATAAAGTTCAATCCAACCTGCAAGTAACGTTAATGGCTGGGTTGGCACGACTGAAAAGAGGACATACATAAGGTGCCACCCCAGCAACAGTCGGAAGAATCCCACGATAAAGGGCAATTATTCCTCCTTCAGTTTGGTACATTATGCGCATAGTTTGGAACATGCCGGGAAGCTTTTGGCTTGGGGCTTGTTTAAGTTCGGAAAACGAGGCGGATTGGATAGACAAACGTGTTCGTACAATATCCAAGGGGTAAGTGATAGTGACTGAGGTAATTCCCGCGAAACCTCCACAAATCAGTCGGCTCAAGGGGCTTAAATCACCCCCCGGGTACGGCTCTGCAAACTATGGTGTGAAAGTGTTAGAGAAGCTGATAGCCATGCATGCGACTCCACCTACCTTTTTGTAAATGCTATAACTCCCAAACTGCACAGCCGAGTAGGGCACAATTCGAATACAGTTGGTTCCATTCCCACGCATGAAGCCCCTCCATCCTTCTTCCTTCCACATTTTGACCAAAGCTTTCGAAATTGACAACTTATAGTCGTTTCTGCCTGCATTTTGGATTTGAAGGAGAATCTTTAGTCGCTCAAGAGGTGAAACAATCGTCCGAGAGACGGCCCCAGCAACTCCTCCGGCTATGAATGCTGCGACCACAGGCTCAGACAGAAGCTTTCTCGTATCCGAATACCAGGAAACGGTATTGGCCTGTACCGTGAGCTAGCTAGACATTTAACGAAGAGACTCGTGGCAACATAATGGCTTGCCGGAAAAGGTGATAACCTACGTGAGATGGGGATCTAGTTGATGGTGAAGGGAAATTTGACAAAGTGCGACTTGATTTTTCTGTAGGATGGTCGGGCGCAGGACCCTCCTTACCGTCAAGGCTCATTGCGGACGAGCCAAGGTGTTTCAAAGGCCTACAGTAGAAGATAGGACATCAGCAACAGCCATGAGATATAGTCAAACAGAGTGATTACCTAGACCATATGGTGTTAAGCAGAGGTGACCGAGAGCGGGCTATCCACAATTGTTTTGCTGGAGTGAAGTAGGCGGTTCAATGTGCAAATTATGGGTGAATAAATTTGATCTCTTCATCACCAAGCTGGCCATGGACGAAAGAATTGATTTTGAATGAGATGGTGTAAATTGAGTGAAGACGAATTGACAAGAAAGTCACCAGAATGTGGACAGAGACTATTGACGGGAATTTGGTTCGGCTGTCATCTGATATCGGGAGCCGAAACAAATGAAATTCATGAAAGAGCGCTTATGGAATTGAAAGGATTGACGGAATGTACTGGGATTGTGCCGAAAGCCACATTCCACCCATAAAACAGCGTCTGCCCTTGACCCCGAATGCCAGATCAAATCAATCTCAATATTTCTGATGCCACCCATCCTGACGAGAAGGTTCCTAACCCGAAACTGAGGGGCTTATGTAATTGCATAGAGCTTATATAAGCAGAATTCCGTTTTCGAAAAAAGGCTTTTCTCCTTAAAACAACAACCTTCACCATCAAGCATCCTGCCCATTGGCATCAGCATCATCGCAACATCTTGTTGCTCTGTCTACCCTGCCTTGTGAATTGTATAGTTCGGTTTCCTAGATTCTGCTGGTTGGTTGTGTGCCAACCTACCATAATACATTTTTTTCTTTAGCCTCAGTCTCCGCGACGAGCTCTCCACCATGTCTCGCAGCGGCACAACTTTGTATGTCACCGGCTTTGGCCACGGAACTCGTGCCCGAGAACTTGCCTACGAATTCGAACGGTACGTCCCATTCGTGGATGCTCTCCTCCATCGATAACCGAGCGGCCCTCTTCCTTCAGTCTCCTATCCCGAAACGTGATCTTTCGAGGACCATTTTCTCCTTCCATGTACCTCTCGAGCGCACGTCGTTACCGGCGTCCTGGATGCCCGGATCCTTCCCTTATAAGTGCTTGTCTTTGGCAGCAAACTTCACCCGCAAATTTCACGTATTATTGACTCGCTTTGCGCCTTTTAACCTAAACAAATATTCCGTTCCCTTCCACTTTATCCCCATCGGTGCTGACAGATTCGTTGAAGATATGGCCGTCTTGTTCGTTGCGACATTCCAGCGCCCCGGACAGCTGCGAGCCGCCTGTAAGTGTCAACATTCTCAAATATGACTTGTTATTCAATTCTAATCTACCTTAGCTTTGCCTTTGTTGAGTATGAAAGTCGACGCGATGCAGATGATGCGTATCATGAAATGCACAACAAACGTATTGGTCGGGATGACGTCTTAAAGATTGAGGTAAGCTTCTCGTGGGCTTTTTGAATTCAAGATCTAATGACTCCATTCTAGTGGGCACGTACTCCGCCATCTGCGTCGTGGCGTTTTGACTCAGGCCGGGATCGCCGCCGAGATCGCACCCCCCCTCGTCGAGTGCGTTCTCCTTCTCCTCGCCGTAGTGGCAGAGGCGATTATTCCCCCCGAAAAGAAGACCGACGCGATCGTGATTATGATCGTCGTGACCGCTCCCGCAGTCCTGATGACCGTGAGCGTGAGCGGGACCGGGACCGCGAACGGGATCGCGAACGTGACCGCGACCTGAGGGATGATCGTGATAGACGGGATGAGGATCGTGAAAACGGGACCAATGGTGATGACAGGAAAGGTATGTTCATTCCGCATAGCCCATTTCGTGTTTTTGTCGTATTGATCTGTCGCAGTTCCCTTGGATTCTCCCACCCCCGCTCATGATGAGCTTGATACTGCTGAGTAGGTTATGTCGCTTTAAGTGGCAGTCGCACTAGTTCCTTCCGAGGGTCCTATCTCCTGTGAACGCCGTCATCTAGACCAACTGCCGGCTCTGAACGATGATCCAGCAGTCTCCTCGTGTGTCCGTGCGGGGGAGTTGGATCCAATGTCAAATACAGGTCATCCCCCGTATTCCTTTACTCTTTTCAACTGTGTTTATCCTATTTTCTTTCTCTGCGTTTAGTAGGCGATCATTGCACGTTACCTATACCTTTAAAAACCAAAAGCTCGGCGGTGTAGGTCTATCCCATTCTGTGGTCAACATTTCTTAGATAAGGCGATATTTACGACGGCTTCCTTTCGCGAACCCTACGTTTTATATCCGCCCTTTGGCAGACTGCCGCCCTGTCGGATGATTGTCGATGCGTTCTCCTGACATTGTTCTTTGGGTTTGAGATGGTAGTGGCGGTTTATGTATTATCGCATTGCTCTGTCTAGTTGTAGGATTTTAGTATTTTCGGATTTAGACATCAACCCTACTTTGATTCATTGATCTAAATCTCGAATCACTGTACAGACAGTCAACGGTTGAATCAGAGAGGAACAAATTCTCTTGGCTTCAATATTTTGGTGTGATGTCATGGAAACAAACCGTGCAAACATCAGATACTCCACAGATATGCAGTTAGAAGTTGTTCATCAAACGATGGTCGATGCGATTGAACATAACCTGGAGTTTTTTCCTGAATCATATGGTGCTCTTGTCTTGGTAATAACACAGTAATGCTTCAAGCATTATGGTATAGTTAAGGTAATTTTTGCAACATCATTGGGAAAAGGCAGACAATTTCCATCTACTCAGAGATTACCAACCGGCATCCTGAAGGTTTGCCGATACAACCAACACCATTGATTGTTGCCTGGAAAGCAACAGTTTTGCATGATATCTGAGTGATGGGGTTTCCATCTATAGCATGCATTGGAATCGTTGGCAAATCGGTAAGTTCATCAGTTATGATGGCTTGAACGAGTTGTGCTGATCTTGTAGGATAATCTCCTCCATATTTCGGTATTCCAACCCCATGACAACAACCAGCTGGAATTTTCATTAGCTCTCAACTCAGCGCTCGATATATTTGAGTTGCGGCAACGTGAAACTTCGGTCGACCAAGATTTTGGGTTGCTACATGCTTTGGATGAGAGATTTGCGGTTTATGGCTGGTTGACAAACACAAAGGTGAAGCTTCTCATCATTGTTGATTTGGGGGGGAAACAAACTCCGGAGAAGTTTGCTCTCCTCGTCGGCCTTCGAGATTCCGATCTAAAGCCAGTGAGTGACCCTCAATCCACCTGGGATTTTGGACCTAACAATCCTTTGGCAGGCTTTTCGAGCTTTGCAGACTGCTTATGTCAGGCTCTTGCAAAACCCATTCTACAATCCGGAAGAAGGGGATGCCGATGGCAAAGAGTCCATGTGCAATATCAAAATTAAAGACCGTCGTTTCATTGCTGAAGTGAATCATATTGGAGAGACATGGGCACCCGGAGTACTGAACTTGGAGGCTCTTCCGTGAAGTGGAGGAGATCTACTACATACTTAGCGCTGAGTAGGAATGGGATATTTCTAGGCGCAACCATATTACAAGCTGGACTTCCGACGGAGTAATTTATAGTAGCGGTTTAATAGTTATGGATGGTCAACAGAAATCATCTACACAAGAGTCTTGCATGTCTTCATCAATCTCGAGACCATGAGCTCGGAAGTTATTATGGCGCTAATTAGTAAGCCCACTTCACAGCCTATCAGGTCCAGCCTCTAGTAGAGGGCTCCACCGTGGTCGCGTCATTCCGTATTTGGCCTAGCGTAGGGCTTCGCTCACACACTCCACATCAAAATCTCTTTGATCAAAACCACGAAGAGGCAATCCTGGATTCGTGGTGTGAGAATCTGTCCCGGAGAAAAGACCACGATTTCGACCGCAGCCATGGGTAAGTCATGTTACGTTTGTAGCGAGGTCACATTTCCCTGCGTGCAGCTTCCTGCTGCTTGAACGATCGAATACTGACCGTTTGTGGTTGATATCACTTCATAGGTATCGATTTGGACCGTCACCATGTGCGCACCACCCATCGCAAGGCGCCCAAAAGCGACAATGTTTACCTTTCAGCTCTTGGTGAAGCTTTATCGCTTCCTTGCCCGTATGACGAGATATTTTCCGAATAGCCTGCTATGGTTTTGCTAACGGCATGACCTTAGGGCGCACCGACTCAAACTTCAACAAAGTTGTTTTGCGACGTCTCTTCATGTCCCGTATCAATCGTCCCCCAATGTCACTTTCTCGTGTGGTTGCCATTGTAAAGAAGGACAACTCCGAAGATTCAATTAGCAAGAAGACCATCGTTGTGGTTGGAACCATCACCGATGACGAGCGTCTACTTACCGTTCCAAAAATGTCCATTGCTGCACTCCGAGTTACCGCCACTGCGAGAGCTAGAATTGAAAAGGCTGGTGGTGAAATTTTGACATTGGATCAACTTGCTCTTCGCGCTCCCACTGGGGCAAACACCATTCTTCTACGAGGAAAGAAGAATGCTAGAGAGGCAGTCAAGCACTTCGGATTTGGTCCCCACAGTGGAAAGGTTAGTTTTTGTGTCCTCTTGTGATTTCCGCATGTGCTCTGCTTCAGAAGCTGACTACCTAGTAGAAACCGAAAGTTGCAAGCAAGGGCCGAAAGTTTGAGAGAGCTAGAGGACGGAGAAGGTCGCGTGGCTTCAAGGTTTAATACTTGTTACTATTTTTCATGGTCATCAGCCGGTGGCATCTTTCGAGCTAGTTGCGCCCTTGAAACGAGATTTCTTTATTCTCCGGACTGTTCAGTATTGGGGACTCATGAGCGAGCGGTTCTTGTCGAGAAGCATCCCATGACTGTTTCCCGAAATAGTACTATTATGATGTCTCGACGAGTAAAATAAATGCATTGATAAAGGTCAAGGGGTGAATTTACTCAATTAATGTGGAATCCAGGAGTGGCAACCAAACTGATTTACTTATCGCTAATCGGAAGCTCTTCGTGCTTGAATTGCTTCCCGTCCGCACCTTGGAACTCTCCTGCAGTTTGGCCACTACCCCTAATCAAATACTTGTATATTGTTAACCCTTCCAAACCCACTGGTCCCCGTGAATGTATTTTGTTCGTGCTAATACCGACCTCCGTGCCAAACCCGTATCTCATCCCGTCGGCAAGCCTAGAACTGGTGTTCCAGTATACCCCCGCGCTATCAACACCAACCAAAAATCTTTCTGCTGCTTCTCTGGAAGAAGTCAGGATAACGTCGGTGTGCTTCGAAGAGTGCGCATTAATATGAGACATCGCTATATCAAGGCTGGACGAGGATGGCGTAGCGGATATCGTTTTAACAGCTAAGATCAAGTCAAGAAATTCTGTATCATAATCCGATTCTGTGGCATCCTGTAATAGCGTGGCTTGATTGGGTGATAACGCTGCCATCAGGGCAGCTTTGGATTCGGAATCGCAGCGCAACGAAACGCCGTGCTCGAGAAGTGCTTCCGCGATCGGGGGAAGTAGCGTGGACAATACACTTTGATCAACTAGGAGTGTCTCTACCGCATTGCATGCTGCAGGGTAGTTTATTTTTGCATCAAGTATGACTTTCTTCGCCATCTCTCCGTCTGCATCAGAGTGAAGATATATTGAGCAGAGCCCATCAGCATGCCCGAGAACTGGAATTTTGGTGTTGGCTTTTATAAACCTCACCAGTTCATTGGATCCTCTGGGGACCACCAGGTCAATATATTTGTCTTGAGCTAGAAGCGGAAGGATGACGTCTCTGGATTCGACAAGCTGAATCGCTGCGTTGGGAAAATCTACAGAAGAAAGGGCGTCTGAAACAATCCGGGATATTGTCTTGAAGGATTCAATAGATTCCTTCCCTCCTAGATAAACTTGAGAAAAGAGTGCAGCACGGGAGTCGATTGGGGATATGTACCTTTGAGGATTGCCGCATTTCCCGACTTTATCGAGAGCGCGGAGATATTGGCAATAACCTCCGGACGAGCTTCGAAAATGATCAATAAAACTCCAATGGGACAGCTGACTCTTTCAAGAACCAATCCTTCATCGAGTAAAGTTCGCAACGAGATCTTGCCCACTACGCCCTCCAAAGACGAAACGTTAGTTGACTTTTCCAAAGTGGCAGAAGATGAGTCGTATCATACGTGGGTCTGTCAGGCCGCGAACGTCAAGGATTCCCTGTAGCATTTCATCGTATTTCCCGGGGCGGCTGAGATCAAGGCGCTTGAGAATGCTTTGGCTCAATTGGCCATTGTTGACAGCTTCTGCAGCCGTCTCAACATCCCGCGCGTTGGCCTCTAAAACAACATCTTTATGCTGACGGAGCGCGGAGTGGATTGCCGTCAACGCATCATTGCGAGACGCGACTGGGAGTGCTGCCAACTGCCTTGACACGGCTGAGGCAGCTTGGGCAATTTCTGAGGGACTGCATGCTGTCAAAGACATGATGTTCAATAAAATTATTATATTGCTGGGTTGCAGGTGTTGATACACATTATAATAGATTAGATTTGCGCACAACACAGAAATCTCTTTAACCTTGAAACTTTCGATCACCAAAGAGCCTGTGACTAAGGAGATGTGGGGAATTGTCCCAGCTGACAGAAGAGGTGATATAACTAGTTGATAATATAGTAGAATAGTAACATAGTTACATACATACACTGCTAACAGAAATCAACCCATCCAGAAACAGTGAACGAATGTAAAATCAATCTCAAGCCAGGCCCAAGGTCAGTCTTTGTATATAGAACTCTGGAGTTAATCACTAGAAGACAAGGGCTGGGAATTGAGCCTACAAAATCATTGCTTCCAGTCTTCTCCCACTTGGAGTAATCGCGGGCTTAACACTTCAGCTCATCATAACCCAGCTGTACTTTGGATTAGCAAACATTGCAAGAAATGCAACTGCGCGCTCAACAATAGATAACTACCGAGTACTTCAAAGTATTCCCTTCAGGTCGCCTCGGTGCCAAGTGGAGAACAGCCGCGATGCTGACTAAAGTCGACATCACTCGCAAGAAAATTAGTTAATCGCAAACTAGTTACGCCGCTCAGATTGAAGAAGGCGGCGAATCCGGAAGCCATCAAAACTGCATACCACCGCCATCAGTACATACCATCGATCCTTTCGCTAGATACTGTATAATATTACTGGGATTTAAGCCGCATTCCTGAGCTACTGCTGTTCCCTTTCTCTCCCTCTCGTTCCATTGCTTCTTTCAGAATGTTTCGACGAGCCGTCACGACCATTGCCAGATGCGCCGGGGGTCAACTTTCAAGGCGTCCAATCCGGCCGACTATCGTTCCCAAGGTCTTCGCTCCCAGCCCTTCCTTCCCAGTATCTCGGAGCTACCATGAGAAAGATGAGTTTCGCCTGCCCCTCGCGAGGTTTTATACCATCTTAAAACTAACCCGCCTTTACTGCTTGATCACTATAGCAACCCTCGAAATGTAGGATCAATGTCGAAAACAGACAAAGACGTTGGCACCGGTCTTGTTGGAGCTCCTGCTTGCGGGGATGTGATGAAGCTGCAGATTCGTGTCGATAAAGAGAGCAATACGATCAGCGACGTAAAGTTCAAGACTTTTGGCTGCGGAAGCGCCATCGCCAGTTCGAGCTACCTGACGGAGTTGGTCAGAGGTATGACCTTGGAGGATGCTGCAAAGATCCGCAACACAGAGATTGCGAAGGAATTATGTTTACCCCCGGTGAAACGTATGTAACGTGCGATATCCATACTTTCGTCAGCATGCTAATTCGTTTGTAGTCCATTGTTCCATGCTTGCAGAAGATGCAATCAAGTCGGCTATATCAAACTATTATACTAAGAACCCGAAAGCGGCGCAGACGAATCTCTCCGGTACGGCCTCGCCCATTCCCCGGGCTGAGGCTCGGTCAACCAGTGGGGAAGCAACTAGTTAGATTCTTCTAGTACGATGTTTTCGCTCCGCCATATCTCCGCAAAGGTAACGATGCTAGGCATCAAATAACCCCCGTAGCGTTTTCCGGTTAGTCAGGATGGCATCTGGACTCTTTTTCATTCTCATGTTCAGGTTCGCGTTTTAAGGCGCCGGCATGTATTAAATGGCCATTTCTCCTGCAGGATTTGTCTTGCTTCCATGAATTTGCCCTTCTATCGAAAAACGGATACGGAATTATATGAAATATCGTTCATCGACTCCATCAATTACGTGGTTACGTCAGGGAAGTTGTACATACATACAATGTCACCGTAAATCGGCCATCATGTCTTCTTCAAAATCAACTGTCGCGCTGTTGTCGCCTAGATCGCTTTCATTCTTGCGCCACTTTGCCTTCCTCAGACCCTCGATGTACTCCCGTCCCAGTTCCAATTTGACATCAGTTCCATATACATTACCCAGAAGAATGTCCATACGTTGCTTTTGTGCCTTCAACCGATCCCACAGTCTAGTCTCCATCGCGCCTCCCATGGTTGCAAAAGAATGGCCAAAACGAAGAATCGTTGGATCCACAGAATTCGAAGCTTGGAAGAGCCGGGCGTCGAGTCGTCTTGCAGCGAGAAGCTCGACTACAAATGGTTCCACCACTCGGTCGAATTGGTCACTCATTGAAAAACGTAACACGTCAGGCAAAGTAAGCGCTGCGAAAGTCTGGTCAAGTTTTAGGACGGAGCACCGGCGGAGCGCGTTAAGGAGCTGAAAAACTAGGCCGGTGTTTTTATCCTACTAATGAGTTAAAAAACGAGTTTCAACGTCCCGTCGTGATATGTAACGGGTGGCTTACCTTTTGCCAAATATCCATTCCGGCATATATCTCTGCTTCCAATCTAGACAAGCTGCCTGCTTTGAAAATTATACCTAGGGCGCTATAGGGTTTCACCAGCGGCTTATATGCTTTTGCCGCTGACCTACTAACGGCATGAGGTATGGCCGGTACCTACATTGATTATTAGTTTAAATGCGAAAAGAGTGTGCGAAGCACAATAGACCGCCTTACCGTGCCCTTCTCTAGAAGATTCACAAGAATCCATTTCTTATGAGCCTCCACCATAGCCATACTTATACAATTACCCGTAGGCGCAGAAATAGCTATTTCTAGGAAATGTCGCGCCTTTCCCCATCGTTTCAAGCCGATGTAAATCATTGCACCGTATAAAAAGTATTCCAGAGAGCTTTTGTAGTTGATCAAGCCTGGTAAACCTGACGCCATTGTAATGTACGACACACTAGAAGGGTGCTGTTGACATGGAAGCAGCTGAAACCGTTTGAGGAAGGTTTTATCAGCAGCTGTCGGAAAATGACAGATGTCCTTATCAAGTATACCAGTAGCTGGCAAGTAGCACTGTGCTAGCAAGCATAGGTGGGCAAAGGTTGTATGGATTGATGTGAACGTTGAACAGGATGGGTCTAATCGAAGTAAAGCTTGTCTGACAGGTTTGACAGCTGCTAAAGGCTTTTGCTACGTCAATTATAGAGGTCAAGATTGACTGTGGTACCTCGGCAACATACCTGGGATGCATATTCACTAATCTTTGCAACACAGTCAACGAGTTTGTTAAACTCGTGGCCAGCATATCTCACTTGAACCGGGTCAAAAACACAAAGGAAGTTTACAGATTTGCACCATACTGCACCTCCGGGGCGTGTATGCCCGGAGAGGTGCTGATCTACCGAGGTTTCCCAGCCTTGATGGTGAGCAAGTAAAACAAACAAATAGCTCAAGGACTGTTTTTCAGGGTCAAGGGTCTTTTCAACAACAGTTAGCAGATTGCAGTTGTAGAATTGGACTTCAACAAACTCACATCCAGAAGACTTTGACGGCTGGTAATGTTTCCTAATAAGTCTTTTGTGGGTATCCGACGGAGGCTCGAAAGTAAGACATGAGCCTTCCGGTCATACTCGATTTCAGATGTGATCTCAGGGGCAGGAGGCTGTGGAGGGAAGGACAATAAAACGGAAACAAGATCAGTCATTCTGACACTTCGAACCAGGGGACTGTTGTGATGAGACGGATTCGGGTCCAGCTAGTTGTAAGGAGAACCAAGACAAGATATTACATGTAAAAATAGGTGAAAGAGCCGCGAACTGTTTTGGTTATCAAATGTTTCAAAACAAAGTCTAAGGCAATAGTTCCAGTTGGTTGATTGCGAGCTATTAGCTAAATTCAGAGGGAGGGAGAGAGAAATCTTGGTTTGGGGAGCTGTTCTGAGAAGTTCAGCAGTTATTAATGAATACAACACATGTCAGTCAAAAGCTTAGATTGTGCCTGGTTATGAGTGTGTTGCTATGAGTTGGAGAGCTGATTCAAAGCATTAGTATCAAAGTGCTAAGTCAACATCAAGATATTTCTGTTGACACCAGGTAAAGTGTAACAACACAAGCTGTTAATAAAACACTGCTATGGCGGAATGGAATTTGTTTTACAGATTACTCTGTACGGAGTACTCTTGCCCTTCTCAAGGTTGTCCATGATTAACGGTGTAAGTTTTACCTAGTAAATAATTACATGCATTGTCAATACAGGGCTGTATGGTGTATGGTTATGTATCCCTGGACTATTACATACATACAGTACATCAACCTTATTAATAATCATTACTCGTTCAACTTCAGGGTCAACTTCTCACAACGTTTGCTATCTTGAACCTCCGTGTGGGAAAGCCCTCTGTGCCAAATCAACTATACTGCAAGGGAGACGACCTCGGTCCAATTGATAATACTCCAAATCCATGCATTCTTGCAATCGAGTAAGGGTGGCAGCCCTATTCAAGGGTACTTTTTCTACCTTCTCACCACTGCCTTTTGACCGATGCGCTAATAGCGTTCCATAGCGAGAAGCAGGCCAACTCTGCCTATCCTCCAGATTCCAGCATCAACAAGCTTCTCCACATCGTCCGCAGGGCAGGCAATCACTCATGTGGAGAGAACCGCAGAGCCCTCGATATCTCCAATGAAAAAGCCTCGGAGGGAAGTACCTCTCCCTAGCCAGGAAAAGCGGGAGGGGGCCATGCAATTTGCTTTGTACGTCGCCTCCGTCCCTATAACGTCAAACTCACATTATTCTCTGTGCTTATTACTCTTATTACAATAGGACAACCCTTGATCAGGTCGCAAACTGGGCAAGGCAAAGTTCATTATGGCCCATGACTTTCGGTCTCGCCTGCTGTGCTGTAGAAATGATGCATCTATCAACACCTCGCTACGATCAAGACCGTTTGGGAATTATTTTCAGAGCTTCTCCTCGCCAATCGGATGTCATGATAGTCGCCGGGACTTTAACGAACAAAATGGCGCCTGCGCTAAGACAGGTCTATGATCAGATGCCCGACCCACGCTGGGTAATCAGCATGGGAAGTTGCGCAAATGGAGGTGGTTATTATCACTATAGCTATTCTGTTACCCGCGGATGTGATAGGATTGTCCCTGTGGACATATATGTTCCTGGTTGTAAGTAAGCCTCGTGGCGCTTGAGTACTTCCTACTAACACAGCTTTAAAAGGCCCACCAACTTCGGAGGCATTGATGTACGGCATTTTCCAACTCCAAAAGAAAATGCGACATACACAGATTACCCGCATGTGGTATCGTAAGTAAATGGTCAATACATTTTATTCAATACTTCGAATCTCCCCCATCCACCCTCCAACGTCGAGATTGAGAGACTCGTTTGGGATAGCTACGAAATTCTAGTCAGCATGCGAACCCGCGCATCAAACCCCGGTATTTTCGTTTTCTCAAACGACGAAGGAATGGGTGTGGTATTTCGCACAACTTGCATTGACGGCTAATTAGTAAAAAGTGACATGGTTAGGATGATTGTCTAGTGCGTGTCCCTCAAATCACAATGATTGTAACCAAATTTATGTACATAATGTTGTGTAAACATAACAACAACAGTTTAGAGCTCTCTATAATCGCTCGGTCTCAACCTCTTTTGTTTTGCTTGATGTCGATGGGGGTTGACGGGTTGTCGAAAATAGGCATTGTCCTCTTCTTTAGCAAATGGCTCACTGAATGTTGTTCGTTGCTGGTTAGAAAACCTTGCCGTTCCCTGAGGTTGGTGAACCGAGAACGGTGGAAATAGTTGGTTAGGGATAAAACTAGCAGAGCTAGTTTGGCCGGGAAGCATGTTATTAGATGTTCCATGAAACCCCATCGGAACCATCGGTTGGGTCATATTGGCGGAATAAAATCCGGCATGTGCTGGAGCTGTATAATTCATACCTAGCGGTTGGTTCCACAGAGTTCCTGCGCTGGAATAAGGGTTAAATGCCGCAAAATCAGGACCGGCTAAAGGAGCGGTTTGCAATTGATCTCCTGTCGCTGCGTAGTCAAAAGTTGTGAATGGTTGGTTGAAGGATGAGATTGGAAAAGCGTTGTTGGATGGATTACTGGAATTTTGTGCGATATACGCATGGTCCTCGGATTTCTGTCTTTTCGTTCTCGGTGCATTCGTAGAATATGAGTCGTCATTCGGTACCTCTTCATCTTTTGCTGGACGCTTTTGCGGATTTCCTAGTTTTATGTGGTCTGACGAGTCATTTGGCGCTCTGTTTGAATCGACTTTTGAGTCGATGGGTGTCGTGCGTGCTTCTTCTTTCATGTTCCCCGTGCTCTCTAGTTCATAATCCTTGATTCTTGCGATGGCATCCTCGTCAATTGATAGATTGTCGAGCAATACACTTTCAGTGTTGCATTCCGGGCAAACAAAGTCGCTCTCAATCAAAGCGTTTGTGATACAGTCGTTGCAGTAGGTTGTCTTGCAGCATGGAGTCTTAGTTGGCGCGAGGAACATACGCTTGTCGATTGGACAAAGAAGATTACGAGATCGGAGGTGCCTGCCATTCTCAACCGCTGCAATCTCTGCTGCAGCAGCTGCCGCAGCACTAGCTTTTTCCTGATATAACTCCCACGATGCTTTATCCGGTTCAGCAATAACAAAATCCCCGTCCGCGTTGACCATGACCCCGGAGAGTTTTGGGTCGTCATCGGAACCGTCCAGTACACGAGAGTCCGGTTTATCTACTTGCTTTTGAAATGAGCGTGGTATGCCAGTAGAACGTTTCACACGGTAACGGCCGTCAAACTTTGGATCGTTATTAGTGGGACATGCTTGAATCCAATGACCTGCTTATTGTAAGCCGATGCCCGAGTCGTACCACAACCAAAGATGTCTTAGATATATACCTTTCTCTCGACAACGATAACATAGGTAGCCTGGAGGAGGGGGGTGCTCAGGAACCGGATTAAGGAGTCCACGGTTTCGGTTAAAAGGGACTGGAGTTGCACTGAAATGAACGGTCAGCAAATCACCAGGTACACCATGTTAAAGTCATAACTGTAAGTCAACTAGAATGTATACGAACGTTGCCATATCTTCCTGCTGTTCTCGCCATTGAGATTCTTGAAGATTAAGAACGGCTTTAATCTTTTCATCCTCCGACTGGGCAACGGTAATATCAGGCTTTATATTGCTACCGCCACTTCCGGGTCGACTAGCAGTATTCGTATCAATCCGCGAAGCCGTGCGCGCAGTTACAGGCATTCCACCAGAAATATAACGAGCAGCAGTACCTTTTCCAGGTCTTGACGCTGGGAGCCGTCGAGCGATAATGGAAGTCGACCGGGGTATTATAGCGGTATCATCAGCATACTCTAAACATGTATTAGCGGGGTGTCAGGCGAGTACAAACAGCTGATGCATACCTTCGCTAGTATCCTCGTTATAAATAGCTAGATCAAAATCAGAGCCATCACCTAATCGACTCTGACTGATAATCTCTCTTTTTAGTTCAAACACAGAGATACCAGTACCATCAAATGATACCCTTGAGGGTTCTTTCTGAGACTTGAATTTGAAATGAACAGAAGAAGCCATGGTCAGGTAATGTAAGTTGCAAACAATTAACAGTATTTAATTGCTCCAAGCTGGGTGTTCCTAAAGCAACAGCAAACTGCGTATCAGAGCTGTGGGACAGCGGTGCCGGAGCACCTTCCCTCGGGATGATTGGAATCAACTAGCTGAGGGAGTAGTTGGGCGGCAAATAGAATACAATAAGGGCCTGGATATTTGAAATATCCTTGCTTCGTAATGTTTTGAGCCTGGAAGTAGGGCAGGTTTCTGTGTACACGAATAGGTCAAAGTAATAGGGCAGGGATGCAACCCCCAAGTGCCAGTGTCAAAAGTCACAGGATGAACAAAATCCCAGTCGCCGTCGATCCTTTCAGCTGTGTTTTTCCTCTGCCATGGGATATACAGCAGCCAAACACACACAGTATAAGGAATGATGCTCTAGTTGTTAAACAGGTTGGGGGTTGTGATTGATGGGAAAACGGGAAGAGCTTTCTTTAAAGTGGCAAATCAGACTTAACCAGCTGGGTAGGCAGAAAATGAAATTTAAAAGAATAAACATAGAGCAAAGGTTCAGCCAGTTGCATATGAGTTATTGATACATCTGATCAAAGCCTTGATTGAGAGTCCTCCAAGCATGGAGGAAGGAAAGATACAGAGGAAGCAGTCCAGCTGAAGCGGCGCCAATTTAGCCACCTCTTAGCCATTTCGAGCCCTTGGTGCTGAGTCAGCTGTCGCCAATATTTAGCGCCGTTTGTTGTTATTACATAACCGCCTTTTGCAGACCAGAGCTTGGAACTTCACCAACGACGTTTTTTGTTCCTGGAGATTCTGGCCGACCTTCTCACTTCAGACTCAGTTTATCCTACTTCACAAAATTCAAGGCTTTTCACTCCGCTAATATCACAAGTTAATATATCTGCGAATCGTGGTCGGAACGACCTAGCTATGCCCGGTCTAGCCATGGACGGCTCCGGCGCAGTCCTTCCTGGTACAGGAGTCGCGGATGCACACTGCGGTCCATCTCGCATTTCGTGTCAACCTAATGGAAGAGTCAGCTTGAATGGGGATGGAGATCCTTCCATTTCATTCATGGAACAATTCCCTAGGCTATCTGACGGCCATCAAGCGTCTCTCGACGATCTGCCCCCTGAGCTTGCCCATATTACTCTTGGTTTTTTTCCCTTCGCCCGCCTTATCAGTAGAGTTGTCCAGCAGTCATGGAATGACTTGAACGAACTTGTCAACGATATAGGGAGCAGCCCGCCATCACAGGTTGATGTGGTGGCCCGGTTAGGATCCGCCAACCCGCTGAGCGGTAAATACCGCGGCGAGCAACATACTGAAAACGCTTTGAATAAAATAAGGCTTCTTGAATTTGCCCATACAAAACGGGTCGAATTCATTAAGCTATTAGTACTTTCGCAATGGAGTCGGCAGGCGAACGAAGTGAGCCGGCTTATTGATATCCAAGCTTTCATTCGTATGCGCTATAGCCTCTATGGAATGGTTCTTCATCGAATCGGAAATATGAAACAAGACCTTGTCGGTGCGCAATTGGCAAACCCGGATTTAGGGACTGCTTTGCACATTTTGTCAAATGAAGGAAATGAAACGATACCAGCGGTCAGGGCCCTAATCGTGATTTGTGTCATTCTTAAATAAAGCTAATGTTAAGATATGTAGTTCGGATTTCTCTCTCCAAAACCTTTAGGACCAAGGCGAATGCTAAACGTGCTCCGAAGAATCAACAAGCTCATCAGTATGCGGTTGACAACTTGTGATAACATCCCCTCCGCCTTCAAGAACCACTCCATCCAAGATGGGAGGGTCACCTTGATTGTTCCTGGCGAGTTCGAAATTGATCTTTCTGTCGCATTCGAAACCAACTCAGCACAGTTCTTTTTTGTTGATATGAGATTCTTGTTCTTCCCTTCATCATGTCCAAATGGGGAACTACAAAGAATTCTGGATCAGAAAGTTAACGCCGCCTTGATGAATTTTGGACTCATTGGATGCTTTAACTTGATGCATAACCTCACGCTGACCCATAAGATTACCATCCTTTTTAAGCAGGCAGCGGACCTTACGCGCACCTTCTGGGCGGACCACTTGCGCGTTGAATTACTTCATCGCACACTGATTATACAATATTGGACCAAAAAACCAGGAAAAAGTTGGATCGAAATAGGCATTCGCAGTGGCACAAAACGGCCTACAGAAGGTGCAGGGACGGATACGTCTTTCCTGCATCTGCGCTGGGTTCGTGATAATGAAGAAGTTGATGCCACAGAGATAGATTTTAATTTAACACAATTAAGTGCCGAGTCAATCCTTTTCAGCGTCGTTTCTCTACATATTACGCACATCCTACGAATTACATTTGAGCGCCTTCACCAAAAGGCTTTGTATAGCCTAGGCGCACTTTACCTTGGCATGGGCGCTTCATCAATGGAACCAGGGGATTGCCACCTCGAAGTGCAGTTCACGCAGACTCGCCGCATGAACATGGTGGTGGAGCCTGTATCAGGCGATATAACCCTGCGCATTGGACCGTCACCGATAACAAGGTACGATCCAGAAATAATTTTCGACAAAAATCCTGTCGAAAACGTCGTTGAGCGAATATCAAGGCTCCGCTGTGCCGTCGCGTTAGAAGAAGTCGAATCTCATGCAAAAGCCGTCGGGTGGATTTCACTGAACTTGAGGCACATCAGTCCCGACAACTTGCAGCGAGTATTCCCGTCGATTGCTCTTCGTTCGATGCTTTTATTTCGGGCGAAATC